TTTTGGTGAAGAATATAAAGGAAAAGAGACGTGACCGATCGCCCAAGCGGCTAACAAGCCGATCAGTGGCGAAGAGGATAAAAGTAAAAGTAAAAGTAAGTCGGTTAGCCTCCCAATGGGTAATAATGGAGTTGGCTGGATCTGAAGTATGAAGCCTGGAATAATAATAGCTTATAACTACAGTATGCCTGAAAGGCAGGCCAGTGTGCTATGCTTGTGTGATATCTACTATTTGGCTTTCAACCTTAAGTGATGTATTTTTCTTCAAGTGTCCCTTTTATAGAGACAGGTTTGCAATAGTAAGATATAATTAATCAATGAACTAGTCCCAGCCACTAATGTTGAGGGTTTACCTGGAGGGTAAATGTGTGTGTTACCTGGTCCAGGCACTAGGTCACACAAATTAATAGTATCTTGAGCTACTAAACTATTACATACAGTATTAAAAAGTTTTAAAGTACATTTATTATATACCTTTTAGAGAAAATAACAGTTATCCAAATACTGTAACAAGTATAAGTTGATGCTATTATTATACAACTACAGTATGCTATTTCCATTCTATGTTAGGAACAAGTTGCTCTGTAGTAGTTGGAGAAGAAGCAGGAGTTAGGCGACTCTCTGGTTTCTTCCTCTCATTATCATCATCTTCTCTTGTAGCGTCTTTATCACTGACCATATCTTCCTTTTGCGAGCTCTCCTCTTCTTGGCAGCCCTCTGACACGTCTTTATCAATCATCTCTGTATGAGTTTCCTTCAATGCGACAGTATCTGAATTTTTCTCATCAGTTACATCTGTAATAATTTCTTCTTTACTGACATCATTCTCTCCACCCAGTTCCTCTAGTAAGTTGGTTTTCTCTTCATCTTCCTGTTTAATCACAGAGGTGGTAGAGTCTGTTTCAACTTTATCTTCACTTAAGAAAGTCTCATCTGTTGATACCTTAAACTCAACAGCAAGAACTTCCGTTTGGTCACTGTGTATGATTGTCATGTTTTCAGGGTCTTCCGTTAGGTCTCTGTGTATGATTCGCATGTTTTCAGGAACTTCCGTTTGGTCACTGTGTATGACTCGCACAGTTTCAGGGTCTTCCATTTGGTCACTGTGTATGACTCGCATGTTTTCAGGGTCTTCCGTTAGGTCATTGTGTATGACTCGCATGTTTTCAGGGTCTTCCGTTTGGTCACTGTGTATGACTCGCATGTTTTCAGGGACTTCCGTTTGGTCACTGTGTATGACTCGCATGTTTTCAGGGACTTCCGTTTGGTCACTGTGTATGACTCGCATGTTTTCAGGGACTTCCGTTTGGTCACTGTGTATGACTCGCATGTTTTCAGGGTCTGTTTGGTCACTGTGTATGACTCGCATGTTTTCAGTTTGGTCACTGTGTATGACTCGCATGTTTTCAGGGACTTCCGTTTGGTCACTGTGTATGACTCGCATGTTTTCAGGGACTTCCGTTTGGTCACTGTGTATGACTCGCATGTTTTCAGGGACTTCCGTTTGGTCACTGTGTATGACTCGCATGTTTTCAGGGACTTCCGTTTGGTCACTGTGTATGACTCGCATGTTTCCAGACTCAGACAATATTTCCATCTCTTTTTTATCTTCATCACCAAATTCTGAGATATCAGCATTAGGTGACTGATCAATACAATGCTCTTCTCCTGTGTTCTTCTCTATCTCACAATCCTCATTACTTGCTTTGTAAGTTTCTGTCTCAACATCTTTATTAACCTCATCAATTGATGCATTATGATCAGTACTGACAAACTGGTCACTCTGCATAATCTCTTGTACTGTGAGATCTTCATCATCCTGGAGAAAAAATTACAATGTTAATATATTGGGAATGACAAAGTGGAAAATAAAATTTTTTAAAATTTATCCCCGTGTTCATTCACTAACAATAAAAAAAAGTGGTACCTCTCTATTCCAAACGAATTCACTACACTGTACCTGTATACCAAACTACTCCTTAAATATTCAAATATAATACTGGAATACCTGGACTAATGTGACTTAGAAATCAAGAAAATATAATACAAAACTAAAAAAAAAGAAGAATGGAAAATTAATTCAGTGTGGGTGAGAAGGTAAGAAGGACAGGATGTTGGCTGGACTGACCAGAATTCCTCCCTCTGGATTTGTGGCCCTTTAAAATGACAGAATGCAATATCATCATTATTCCCATATCATTTAGGTTCATTTGGTGCCGAGGTAATACAATATTATTGTAAACTAATCAGTCCCCCCCCCAAAAAAAACTAAATAAATACATAAAAAGTAAATAAAAAATCCCACACTCAACCCCAGATGAGTTATTATGTTGTATTAAATTCCTGATGCCTTGAATACATTTATAAACAGCTGACCACCCAGCCAACCAAGGAAGGAGCTGTTTATGAACTATGTAACTACTTTTTGTACAATATCTATGCATTACTGTATTTTTTTATGTACTGTATACTATTATGTATGATATTTAGTGTTTAATAAAATCTTGTGTTACCAAACTATATTTTATTTACCAAATCCTCTACTGATCCCTCCTCAAAAATAGTTTAATGTTGCATATACAGTAGTCTTCTGTTCAGTGGTAGGAGTTTGACAGGGATATTGGAATAACTTAGAATAGGTAAACTTACCTGACTAGTGTCAACCAAGTCTGCTCCCTCCTGACTAAGTGCTGATGTATCAAGACTTTCATTGCCACTTGTGGCATCAGTCCATGATAAGTCATCAGCAGGTAAGTCTGGTGAGGTAAAATTGGCTGCCTGTCCTCCTGGTTCATTAAATTCCTAAGTGGATAATAATAATAATAATTATATAAATTTAGGGTTACATATTACCAAATCTACATGATGTTTGTTTTACATGCATTTAATGTCAATAAAGTATTAAAATTATCCTCCCTATGAAATTAGGTTTAAAATTCACTGTAGTAGAAGTCCAGGTGTCAATTTCTGTACGACCTCTAAAATTGGAATTGGTTCCACACCCACTACATCTATGGTTTGACTTGAAAGAATACAGTAGTAGAATAGATCTTCCAAAACAGTCCCCACATAATTTGTACAATCAAACTGTAGTATCACATTTATTATGTTAGCCATTTTGTGTTCAAATATGGTTATGGTTGTGTGACTCTTTTTAAAAGATAATTTCTAATAACTTTGCCACTATTAAGCCAATTTTAATGAGTTTTTTCCCAAAGATTTGTTGTTCAATGCACTAAGACAGTACATTAACTGACATAACATTGAACCAGATACAGTATGAGGTCAGCATAAAGGACCTACTCATTGAATCTGGAGTGTATGGCCATAACTTGGTCTCCATTCTGAGAAACACGTCATATTATAGCTGAGGAGTGCGGGTGTACAAACTGATCATGAAAGCCTTTATCTACCTCCAGTGGCTAGCCTTTGTCAAGTGGCAATCATACAATGATTATTGTAGCATGAATAAAGATACAGGGAGGCTGTGGAGGTAGGCACAAATGTCCAGGAGAACTTAGAAGAACTGACAAGAATGATGGCAGAACTTTAAGTACAGTTCACAACATTCAAGAATGAGGCCCATAGCAAATCTCACTTGATTACCTTCTGGGATGACTACATTGCTATGGTTCAGTTGCTTTGTCAGTTCATCTGAGCTGAGAGGACATGTAACTAGCATCTCCTTTTATTGGCAACTGCTGCCAGACACCTCATTTCTTCACAATGAACTAACCATACAATTCACGATGGCTACCTGTCTACTCGCCAACATGTATAACTGCTAGAAACCCTTCTGTTTAGCATGAGTTTGTAAATGGGAGTCACACACTCAGTTGGTCTAGTCAGCCATTTGATCAGGTATGATTTGATATGGTCCTTGAACAATCCATCAACCTGGACTCAAAGATGAAAGGTGGCATCTCTGGCATTAGTAAAAAACCAGGAACACTTGGATACTGGTTCACAACAAGCCACGAACGTGCTGTCATCATAACAGCAATGAAGGAGATTGTGTGGCTTGCAAGATTCTGAAAGAGTGGCACACACAAGGAAGAAGCCCGATGCAGACGAAACAGAGATGGAGAGGATGTTCTCAAGTTGCTTTCTACCATCACATAAGGTCTCAAGACAGATTCATTCTCTTTTTCTGGTAATAAAGATGATGACCCCTTGTAACTTATCAATTTTGCCCAAGAAATGGTAATCCTATCAACTAAACCTGTCACAAAATGAGATAAAATGGTAGGTGTTAAGCCAAATCAATGTGGAAATGACCTACAGTAGATTGCTCCCACTGAATACCCTATTTTCAGGCAATTGGCTTGTAACTCTCTGAAAGACACTAATGCATTCAACAATGAACATAAAGGTCAGAGCAGTAGTAGCAGAATGTCTGTACTGCAAGAGAAGTGATTGAGATCTCTGTTGTTGTTCCCAGAATAATGCTTTATAACCAACATCAATTAATGAATGATTAAAAGTGGCATGTAATATGCTCAGCAACAAACCTATCAAGCATTCTTCTATTTCAGATTATCTTATTACTACTCAGACTTAGTAATTACCCTTCGAAAGCCCAATATAAAGATAAGGATAATCTTATTTTCAATTTAAATTTTTTTTTCAGATTCCAGTCACAAATCAGGTCCCTGGGGCCTGATGTTCAGACCTGTAGATTGGCTACCTATATGTAGTTGCCTGAGGTTATTTATACTTTAAATTACTTTACAGAGTAATTTTGGTATTTTCAGTGTACAGTATACATGTATTATGCAGTAGTTATGCATAGGTATACATAAATTATATACATTTGGTATCACAAACAAATAAGCTACAGAGTAGGGGTGATTTACAGTGTGTCAATATATTTTGCCAAAGAAATTATAGGAAAATGGGCAACTGAAAATAGGTATACTACCTAAAGCTAACTTTATTGCATACTTACAATAATTAATTACTTAATGTTTTAACTACAGAATCACTGATCTCATATAATTAGAATTTCAATTAAAAAGATCTTCCTTGATACAGTGATTCTTCATTACCTTGCTGATTGGCACTGGTGCAATCATAGTTGTTTTTCCTGTTTAAATTATCTATTAATAAACATCAACCAACTGAAGAGTGAAACAATAAATCTAAAAAGAAAAAAAAGAAGAACAAAAGTTGACCTAATTCCAAAGTAAAAAGCAAAGTTCATTAGACTGCCAAGAATACCTTCCACAAGACGATACATATCCCAGCAAGAGCCCATCCCAGGAGCAGCATACCTTCTTCAGTAGAGCGGCGCTCACTACTCTAGGACCCACGTTCTAGCCTTGATTCAACTGTGTCACCCATAACCTGTTACAATGTAGAACTTGTCACAGAGCTACCCTAACTCTGAGTTTGTATACTGTATCCCTTCTTATTCTTACAGAAATGATGTATCAATTTTGTAAAATGAAACACTTGTATACTTCCTTTCTTCTCCATCCCAACATTCAGTCAAGGAAAGTACTTATTCGCATCCAATAAGACTTACGTAACATCCAATATTATAAGACACAAATAGAGGAGGAAGAGCGTGAATATTATGAGCTGTAACCATAAGTAACAAACATCAGGCTCATCTCCTCCCCATCAGTCAACTTTAGGACATTAAATGACTGATGGAGGGATGGATGGGGAGGGGGATATAGAGAACCTTGAGTAGATGCTGGAATGTGGAAGCTACAATCCTTTATTCCTTAAAACTAATTTTTTCTCACTCCTCACAAAGATGAAAGAAGGTATGATCCCTGGGATACGAGAAAAAAGTTGTGGCAACTATCTTTTAGGAAAGGATGATTAAACTACAATTACAAAGGAAATCACAGCATAGTATAACCTCTTTTATCTAAAATTCTATTATGTGGAATATTCTCTCTTAAGGAACCTTTAACCACTCTGGCATTAGCAATTTTCTACCTGATGTACTTTAAATAGCCATGACTTGGGTAAAAATAAGCAGACTGAACAAACTTGAAGGAAATGGAAGTTGGAAATATTCTGAGCTATACAACCATTTCTTCCTATTCTAGCCCTGCAGCAACCCAGTAATATAATGCTTGCTTGATTTTTTCTTCAGCCAACACATAGGGGCCTTTGTTCAGTTCATGCACATTCAGCAAAACCCTGAAGAATAGTATGACTTTGTATTGGTTATACTGTGCCAACATTTTTCACAAACAAAATTGATTTTATCATCACAGCCAGTCTGGATGGATCACAGGCAAAATCAGAGGGACAAGCACCAAGTAAGAGTAGAGCATCTAAGAAAAACAACAGTACCAACTAAAGATCAGTTTTGTATTCAGCAGTCAAAGGCACCAATGAGTAACCACCTTGTACCTCCTCTTGGTCCAAAATCACCAATCAATAAATATTAGCATGGTGAGTAGGAGGCAATCAGGGTGGGACTAGACTTGAACATGCATTGTTAGTAAATTTACATTGCTCCAGCTACTAGTGTCAAATTTATGGGAGACAGTTAAAAAAAAGAAAAAGAAGGATACTCATAACACAAACACCACACTGAGATGAATTAGGGTGAACGGGTTCCTTGTGAAACACAAGTACTGTACCACTGGTGACCCGCTCACTTTTACACCTCCCTGTGTGGTGCAGGTGGTTTTACGCCTCACAAGGGGTACATCACAAACTCGGGGCACGCACGCACATACACAAATATATATACAGGGTATATACACATATATATATATATATATATATCTCTATACTGTATATAATATTTATAAATCAACCATAAAAAGAGATGGCAGGAAATACTGTTTTATTTGACAATCAATGTAAGCTTAAATCTGACTTAGATTACCGGTACAAACAAATTTTGTTTTATTTTTTGTCTCGTGCGTACTAGCTTTTTCCTGCTGATGCAGGGTAGCTGCACATTTAGCAGCTCATGATCTTCCATTACCTTGTCAGGATATTTTTCCACCAAAGGGTTATTCCACAATCAATGCACACCTGATGATGTACTCATTTTGTTTCTAAATGTGTAAACTTGGGACCCTTTGCTTACAAGGCCAATTAATAAAAAAACATATGAAACAAACAAATGAATGAATATATAATACAGTACCTCAAGCTGATGATGTTGTGTTGGGCAGGAAGCAGGTGGGGTTGTGGCAACAATGCCTCTCTGGTGAATCTTGGAGTCCATAGAGGAGTCGGAGGGGACACCAACTTGACCATCTACCACAGTTGACTTTGACCAGTTGGGTACAGAGTTCTGACAATTATCAATTATTTAGGTACTAGTATCTAATCACAAGTTCACATGAAATATGTTAAGTAAACTTTATGTTTTGTGCAAATGTTGCACAAAAGCTCTTAAAACACAATCAACTTTAAAGAAGCCTAAATTTTCCCAATTTGTAATGTTTATATAAGCATCATAAATAAACTCTTGCATGTAGTTTGTCTTACACATTTTCAGAGACAATGATAATTAAATTTTATGTAATATAAAAGACTGATCCTAAGATCTAACTTTACGGAGAAGCTAAAATAGCCAGTTTAATTATAATGTACATGCCAGGCCACTGGCCTACACCCTGGAGTACAGACATTAGATGCTGGGATTCCTCAAAATTATAAATAGATTTCCTTATTGTAAATCTAGACCTAAAAGTGGTGGTGAAAGAAAAGATTTTCCTCAGGGGCAGCTGAGGAAGGTCTGAAAAAACACAGGACATCACAGATACTGGAATATTAAAGAGGTTGACATACATACATAAGCTTGAGCAAGTTGAATTGAGAAAGGTGAGGTGGATATGCAATGCGAAACTGAGAGATACAAAACTCTGTTCAGCACTAAGAGGGCAGCTGGGTCTAGAGAGCATTGGTAAAGTTTTGTGGAGAGGTAGGCTTAGGTCTGGGCATGTGGAGAGAATGGAGGACACCAACTGGGTGAAGAGGTGCAGGATTATATATGTGGAGGGGAGGAGAGCCAAGGGCAGGCCAAGATTGATATGGAGAGAGGTTGTAAGAAATTACAACAGAATTAAGAACCAGATGAGAGGCTACAAGAGACCTTACAGCATGGAGAGCTGCCATTAGGTAATCATGGCTAACCCACGCAAGCGAGGGAAATGGCCATACAGTAAAACGTTAATGCTGATGATAAGCCATTATTTACATTACTGTACCTGTACTGATATGATATATAGTACAAGCATGGCTAATAACAGTACAGTAGTTACCATGCAAACAAACTCAAGATGAAAAACTTTACCCAATAAATATATATTGTATAAGAACAAATCATACCTCTTTATTAGTGAAGTTATTGTATCCCTGACCCCGTCCCCGTCCTCTTGAATTTCTGTTTCCAAAACCTCGAATTCTCTGGTGCTGCCTTTCTCCCCCATAGCTTTCAATATCCTCACCCCTTTGTTCTTTTGCACCTGCATGAGGTCCAGGCTTTCCCCTGCGGCCTGAGCCAACTCGTACAAATTTTCCTGAAAATTGAGAATTCAACATTACCGGCAATTATAATTTCACTGTCAATGGCAACCCATATCTACATACAGGTACTAGAATTGTTTGGGTTCTTCCTACTACAATGCAGATCAGGTGTAGGAGATTCTCCTCCAAAATGATCCTCATATACAGTACTGTATTGTATATCTGGTCATATATATACTGTACACATCCCATTCAGTCATACACATATACACATACCTGGTATATTTCTCAGTTGAAATTTTAGTAATACTGTACAGTAAACAGAAAATTACTGTATAACATTCTCTTTTGGTCTCATTTAAAGTACTGTATATAATAAAACTTTTCTTATATAACATGCTTTATTCCTTCTATTAGAGAATGTTCAATACAGTATAAGTATCTTTCCAAGTTATTCTACCTGCTTATGAACACATGTAAATATCTTGTCAATATCTTGTGTCCTTTACTCCCATGAGAAGTGCCTTTGACTCTCCTTATTTATTTTTATTCTTAAAAAATTTCTCCATAAGTTCAGATTATCATTGCTGTCTTGACTTTAATATCTAGCCTTTACTGAAGTGATGAAACCAAAGCTTTAACATTACCATGTGTTTCTCCCTCATCCTTACCAGCAGTGCTATGATTGGCAGTTGAAACTGATATTGTGAAAGAGTCTCCATGGCCTTCTATCTTGCGTTCCCGAAACACAGCATCAGGATCTAACTCAGCCATAATCTCTTCTTCATGCCTCTGGGCTGGATATTCAAAATGATAATGTAGTAAATTCTAAACATAACCTGCATTTGATAAATTCTAAACTAACTCAACAAACAGTAAATAAAAATTATTTTTCATAAGTACTTGTAAGGTACAGTAGTTTATTTGAAGTTGTTATTAATCTATGTACTGTACAGGTACTGTGTTATGAAAATTATTCTGCAACACCATGACTCAAAGTTCAGTCCTGATAAGAGATTACACCTGGGATGCAGCTACATGTTCTGATTTTCCTTGGAGATAGTGTGTGTTTAAAAACTTAAGAGGTGATTCCTCGAGTACATTTATATTTTACAATAATCCATCTTAAACAGAAGTTCCATACTGTATTTTAAAACCACAATTCCTTCAAAAATGTAAGTATGGTACATTATTTTCAGTTTTGTCCACTCTATGCCTGTCCATTGTCTCTAAACCCTTTAATGGGATATTACACAAATATTATATAAAGTACATCTGTTCACATTTTTTTATGTACAAACCTATGTATGTTAAAAGTTAAAACAAGAAAGTACAGTATGTTTGTATGTACAGTATAGTATTACCAAGAAAACAATTAGTGCATATGAATGGTACTCATGTACACATCTCCTTCCCATTTGCAACTTCCTCAATCATGGTTTCCAATTTGCAGTGTTGTAAAATTATAGTAAAATGTGTACCTTCCATTCTCATGGTTTCAAAGTGGTTGTGTTGAGTTTCAGCAATAGATGGCACCAATACCTCTCAAATTATGGATTTTAAATGCAAGTGGGTAAGTCTGTACATTGTTACTTCTAATACCGGGTATGTTAAATTAGTAATAAAACTTGCACAAGAATAGCACAAGAGAGATGCATGGACAAAATGCTTTCACTGAAGTTAGAAGCAATGAGGAGTCTAGTGCACCCATGTTGTCATGGCAATAAGTGCTTTGCAGTGTTGTGACTGCATAGACTGCAGGATTACAAGGACATTATTTCTATGGCCCCTTGGCCCCATTATAGGCATTTCCCCCCCATAAATGATTACTCTCCCAGCTTTCTTATCGTTATCTACAGCAGCCAGAGAGTTGTTAGAGGAATTCTTTCAGATGTATGATTCACACCACAAAAGCTCACAAACAATTTGGCTGGGACACCCTACTCAAAGAAGCAATACCTCAATCATGGTCCAAGATGCATCATCCCCCATAAAGATTGCCTATCACAAAGATAAAAGTGTCTACCATGTTGGAAATATCATTCTGACAATCATATACAATATTCTTCAATACATACTTGTCACAGACAGGACTCTACTTGCTGGCATTCCCCTTACCTCACTAATACCATTCACAAAGCAATAAAAGTATCACTTGTGTCATCTGTAACATCAATCAATAATAAAAATAAGTACATCTACTATTACTATATAGTATTTTCCTTTGACATTCTGTGTTAAAGAGAATTTTCAATGGAAATTAAATTACTGTACATGTACACTCTTAAATATATTTTCTGGCCCTAATTCTCAGCATTATCTGTAGTGTGGCAGTGAGGAATTAGAAATGATGAACTTGGACACAACAGACACAGCCTTTTTCTGACTATATTCCTTTTTTTGAACATTTTATCATATTTCTGTGCTTCTTATTCTCTGCATCATGTTCACCCTAAATACTACTCACTCAAGTCTTCTGATATGCTCATTCCTCTTGGCCTACAGTTCATGTTTCAAAATTCAAAAAGAAAAAGAGTGTAAGGCAGTAAGGGGTACTGAAAATGTATGTGATACAATACAAGTTGTTGATTGTCATTCAAAATTTTTTAAGATAAAATGAAATAAATGTTTCACTCTGCCATTAAAAACTCAGAACTAGTTTACAGTTACAGTTGATCATGTCAAGGATGTGTAGCATTGCCAAAGATATGATAGTGACAGATGTGGAGGCAAGAGTACCGAGATGGTAGTAAATTTGATACATAGGAGGACAGGAAGTAAATGTGAGGGGAGTCATGTGCTGTTTGCAGACAAAACTGCCCTGGTAGACAATTCAGGAACATATTTACTAATGTTGGTGGATGAGTTCTGAAGTGTGTACTGTACTGTACTGTACCATGGGAGTGTCAACAGTGAACATGAACAAAAGTAAAGAGATTAGGATAAACAGGGAAGGGTGACAGAGAAAAACAAATGTTAGTCTGATGTAAATCACGAGGAAGTAATATATTCCAGAACCAATTTTCTATATTATCAGTGCATGTTAATACACTGGTCATGAGCATCAGTGTCTCCCTAGTCTCTCTTATCATTTTTCCTGACTAATTGATTAAATTATATACAGTATATATATATATATATATATATATATATATATATATATATATATATATATATATATATATATATATATATATATATATATATATATATATATATATATATATATATATATATATATATATATATATATATATATATATATATATATATATATATATATATATATATAAAATTCTAGAATGTATCTTTCCAGATGATTTTATACAGAGCATACTGTACTGAACGTATGTATTGTACCATTAATCTCAGGGTTTGGGTAACGGTTTCTGCCTTTGTAATTTGATCTGGAACCTCGACCTCCTGTAGGTCTACGATCTCCTTGGTGCCCTCTTGGTTGGCCAGACTGTGGTGGACTTGAATCACCATCATCGCCACTAGGAATTGTTACAAAATCTCCCAATTTTAGTCCCTCACCTGAAAAGCATCAAAGATATTAAAATGCAGGAGAATCAAAACATTCTATAAACATCAAGAAAAACTGTATGTTGAAAGAACATTTATAATGTGAAAGTGAAAGTGAGTCCAATAGGCATGAATGCCCATTAGGGACAGTGTGGATACAGCACACTGTATACCAAGCCTTCGGTACATAAAGAGGCAGCATGGCCGGTACTGCACTCGACCGCCTTCACTTCTCCAAGTTATAAACTTAGGTACCCATTTACAGCTGGGTGAACTGGAAACACCCAGGAATCAAATCACCAACCTCCGGAACAGGAGGCGAGCACTGTATCCACTCGACCTCTGCGCTCCTACAATGTAGATATGCATTAAAAAATAAAAGCTAAGGTGTCTTTCAACAGCATGATACAAATACAGTGGGGTATGCTATAACAAACGGATCCTACTACGAATATTCCTATAACGAACGGTTTTACCTATGAAATTGAGAATGCTATAACGAACGAAACTCCTACAACGAACTTTTTTTTTTTACTAATTTATTGTTTTTTTATTACAAGTATTAATGATATTCTTTATTTCAGGGGTTTAGATGCATATTTATGCACTTTTTTACAATTTTTAAAATTTTATATTATATTTTTCAGTGTTAAGTGGTTGTATTTGGGGGCCTGGAACGGATTAATCCTATAACGAACGAATGCTATAACGAACAAGGTTCTAGAACCAATTAGATTCGTTATAGCATACCCCACTGTACAGGAGTAATATTGTCTTCAAATTACAGGAAACTATACAATGTAATCTGTAATTTTGTTTTGGCTTCTCATCTATAAGGAAAATTTTAATATGTTAGTAAAGCAATGCATATTTCATGCAATTATGGAAAGCTTTCCCACAAGCACTACATTCAAGAATTAATGAGCTAGTGCTGACATGGCAAGGAAAGTTGTTTAACTTCATAATATTTCACTGCTGCCTATAACAAACCAGACATAAATGTTCACTGTCTACTCTTAAACATATAGGAATCAAGATTTTCTGATCAGGCTTCAATTCTGTTTTCAATGTGATATGTTTTAAATCAACATAGTTTCTCAGATGCCGAGTTATGTTTCTTTTTTACTGTACGTTGATAAGTATGATTTACATGCTGTAAGTCATACACAGGGTAAATGACAAGATAAGCTTATACAAACAAAAAGAAAAGTGTTGCGTAGGAATGTTTACAAATCTACAAAGTCTGTAATGTAACGAGGTCCTCCAGGTTTCACTCTAATAGATGAATAGAAAATGTGTACAGTATATGTTAGAAATAGAGAGAAGATTCATGGCTTATGGAAAAGTTTGATGTTAAGTTAATCAAAAGTTAAACATAAGGTATATAACAAAATAAACGTACACTTGCTTCTAGGATATCTGGGATCATAAACAGGTTCTGTGTCTTCCACTTCACTGGAAAAGACAAAAAAAAAAGGAATTATAATACGAACAATAATGAAGAAGAAATCACTATCATATCTTACAAAGTTTCCGTAACATTAAAGTGCTGTTTTAATAATAAGAAATAAAAAACTAAATACTGTACTGGCTATAGGTCTTAACATTATCATCAACTGTTCATTGTCTAATGCTATCTCAAGCTGTTACACATTACTGTGATGTAGGAAATGTTGTACAGTATTTTACTGTACCCTGTACTGTACAATACTGTAAAGTACTGCATCATATTTGTGCCTTCACAAATTAAAAGTACAATTCAGGTATTGTACTCTGATTATGTTTATTTGTTTTAATAAAATATATTAGTGTCCACATAACTTTACATTCAGGATGACATGTTACAGGTCAAGGTTACAAGCAAGATTGAAATATCATCTGGTCCTCCATTTGGGGATAGCAGTTGGTTACACCAACTTTTTTTTTATTTTAATCTGTGTTCCTGTCTTCATACTTACCCCTGGTCAAGTTTATCATTGTCCCATTCTCTGCGCCAGGCACCTTCATGAGTACGCCCTCTTATTATTCTCTCCTCATCTATGGCTTCTCTCTCTGCTTTCCATCTCTCATATTCATGGTGTTGCCCACGAGCCTGAGTGGCAAAATAACAGCAGTAGTCATTTTCAACTTTGTATCAGAAATTAGTCGACTTATTCACTAAAAGTCATTAACCTAGGCTACATGCCCCCCTGTGTGTGGGTGTAGCATTATTTGCTTTACATGTAAATACTTACTCTTCCCCTTCCTCTTCCCCGATGCTCAAAGTGTCCTCGTCCTCGACCCCTTTCACGCATTCTGTTCATGTCCTCGTAGTCGTCAAAAGAATGTCGTTGAGAATAATTTCCTCTCCCTCTTCCTCTGCTGCCCTTTTCAATCCTCTGATCTCCATCATCATCTGGATAATATCTGATGTCTCGTGATGTAAAGCTAAACTTCCCTCTTCTTCCTTCATGCCCTCCACTACCACCACTATGAGTGCCATCAGCACCATCTCCAGAACCTAAATTTTCATTTTCTAATCTTGATCTTTCATTACCCCTTCCTCTTCCTCCTCTTCCATGTTCATATCTTCGTTCCCCATCAGAATTAGAAAAATTTCCATTATTTCGCCCCCTCCCTCTTCCTCGATTGAACCCTCTATCTGAACGACCCCAAAACTCAGCCTCAGCCTGGCCACTGTCTGCTTTGACATCATTTTCTCCTTCACCAACACTGTATCCTCCTCTACTGCCTCTCCCACTACCCCTCCCTCCCCTATCACCCCTATCACTTGTACCTTCTCTTATTCCATCTTCCCCTGAACCTTCCCATGCACCTCCCCCTGATCCTTCCCATGCACCTCCCCCTCCTCCTCTCCCACCACGCCTTCCTCGTCCCCTTCCACCTCTTCCCCACTGCTCTCTTTTGTTCTCTCTCCCTCCTTCTATTCCATCCCTATCTGGATCAGACAAGAAACGATATGAGGGATCTGGTGGAGGACCATCATTCTGGGAAAAAATAAATAAATAAAAATAAAGTGTACAATTTAAAAAGAAAAAATTATCAGAGAACAATTATGACCTTAAAAATTAATTCATATACAGTACATTACATCATACAAAATACTGAACTTAAATCACAGGTTGATCTGAAAAATCCTATTTCATAGCCATGGACAAGGAGACTCCTGCACAGTTTACCTATGAAGTCTATGGCATCTAGCCCAGTCTTATTATCTCAACACTAACAGCTGGCACTAATGTTTGATGAGTACATCTCCTCTATTACAACTACCATCCTTCAAAAAGGGAGAGCAGAAGAGGCATTTCCTTAATGTCCTTAATGAGATAGAGGTGAGCAAGCCTTAGTGATACAACAACATCCACACACTGATCCTCCCTTGTCCATTATCAGCTCCAACACAAATCTTGTACTGTACCAATATCAGTCCAGGTGAACTTCACAATAAAACACAGAGGAAAATGGAATCTATCCACCCTTAAACAGTTATAGCCTTCATATTATGATATGTAGGTGCAATTTTAGTAAAACTGGGGCATTGTGAGGTGGTTCAGAGTCCTAACCCCCCTATTCATACATTGTTTGTATGGGGAATTGGCTCTCGGGTCCCTAACTTGTTCATTAACCGCGGTGCTCTTATACTATATACAGTCCAGTATTTCAATTTTGAAAATCTTTTAGTTTATCAAATTATTTACAAAAGCAATTATGTTCTGATTGAAACTAAATTTAAACATCAATCTTTTGCTGCTAACAGCATCATAACTACTAATAAAAGCTACAATAACTTACTTTCCCACAAGGAAATTTAAAAAAGACAACATACTTCAAAGATATCCCAAGGAAAAGCCTGGTTTATTATACAGTATTCATATCTATTTGATCTGGGCATAGAATATTGTGAAGCCCTTACCTCTGACAATCTCTGCCTAGAAGGCATAATATCAGCAGGACGAAGAGGCTGTGGTTGGTCCAGCATCTCCCGAGGTTTATCTGGTCTCTCTGGACGGGATCTCGGGATCTTCATCACATATGGCTTTACCTCATCCATTGTCACCGTTGAACTAAAAATATCTGCATTTTTCTTGTCAGCTTCAATTTCCTGGACGAACAAAATAATGATATAGTAACAGGAGGAGGAAAACATGAAACTGGAATACCTTAAGTCTAGGAAGAAATCTTTAAGATGATGATGATGATGATAAAAATACAATTATTTCTTCAGTAAAACTATCATTCAAGTTTCTAATTGATTTGGCCTGTAAGTAGACTATGCCGGAATACAATTCAGCATGTGTATAGACAATGTACAGTCTCAACAAAAACTTCTCCAACACCTGGGCATGATGGATGTGAGAATGGGGCTTGTCATCTCGGAATGGTTTCAGATTCTTGGTTAATTTTTCAGACTGCATAGTGCTTATAACGTTCCGGAAGTTTTTGGTGAGTGTACATTGATCATGGAGGTATTGTACACAGTTTCCAATGTACCTAGACAATGCAGGTATACAACAATAGTACATGTAAACAGTGAGGTAGTTTGACCAAGGATAGCCAACAAAGCCATTACAGTAAATGCTATTAATCAAGTGTAGTGAGATATACCTGATGCAGTGGTGCAACCCATTCTGTTCTACACTACTTGTGTCTGTAAATCAAGAATGACGAGTAGGAGTTCAAGACGAGGATATATTTTTTCTAAGAAACAGATGCTGAGTCAAGAGTACAGTACAGTAAGATCCACTTAACAAGTGAGATGAAATCCTCAAAAAGTGCTCATTAAGTAAACTGTCATTCAACGGGATTCATTTTCCCATAAATCCCATGTTAAAAGATGGAGTTCCAACCCAGTTTTTTCCCCAAAAATCCGATGTTATAAATTTATATGCGCTCCAGCCCAAATACTGTTCAGTACAATGCAAGTACAGTACTGTAATTTTTCACCCTAAAACATAACCTAGCAATATTAAACATGGCTTTAGTATACAGTACTGTACTGTATTTTCCTCTATAGCATTGAGTAGTGTACTGCAGTCTTTTCAACATATGCTTCCAGAATTTACGCTTTCTCCATTATCACCAGACAACTCAGAGACTTGTTGCACTGCCTCTTCATCTCAATCCAATAACCCAACAGCCTTTCCATATTTTTCACTACATTATTACAACTCCTAAACAATCGCTACTAAAGGGTGTCACTGGTTTTGCCATGTGTTTAATATCAGGTTGTTTGCTGATTGTGCACACTGTTGACAAAAACTAGGTAATCCACAGGGATCAACAGATATCCTGCACATTTTCATTGAGTCCAGTCACTGTAATTCATCCAGTTTTGTCTCAAAGTGATGTCTTCCACTTCTCTTTGGAGTGGCACTGTTTGTAGAGCTCACTGCTTTCTTTCAACTCACCATTGTTGGGTTTGATCATAAAAATAACTAGAAACAACATTAGCAGTGCTGAAGCTTGCTCATTTGCAAGTCAGAAGTGGCTGGAAGAATATTGGGGACCTGCTGCCTTTATTGATGATAAAAAGACCTTCCCTTTACAAGAAAGGAACAATTTACTGTGTGCAACTGGCATGAGAAATGTGATGCACGGCAGTGAAACACGGATAGTTAAAGAGCCCGAGCAAGCTTAAATGCAAATGATGAGAGTGAGAAGGATGTGTAATGTGACACCAAAAGGCAAAAAACTGTTCAGAGCTATGACGATGGCTGAGTAATGGCGGCATTTTGTATGGAGGTAGACTGAGGTGGTTTAGACATGTGGAAAGATTGAAGGAGACCAACTGGGTCAGGAGATGCACGAGTTTGAATCTAGAAGGGAAGAGAGCTAGGGGTAGGCCAAAAATGATAGGGAGAGAGGTATAAGAAATGACCTCTAAGATAAGAATCTGATGAGAGGGGTTGCATGAGCCTGCAGCACGGAGAGCTGTCATCATGGGAAAATGGCTGCAAAATGGTGATGACAATGACTTTTTACAATCAAAACCCTGGAACATAAAAGAGACAATGGGTTGTGTAGCACAATATGTAGTCTGTTAGTGCAGATACTGTACAACACAATGCTTACTGAACAATTTTTTGGTACACAAAGAGTCAATGTTACTGAGACTGAACTCACCTGCCTTCAGTTCTCCAAATGTTCCTAGTATGGGGGACTGATTGATATGCTGAACTTCTTTTATGTACAGTATTCCCTGTATACAATATTACAGTAATTCCACAGTGAAAAGACATCAATCAGTTGTATGTTTACCTGGTGTCGTTTACGAAGTTCTTCATTTTTCCTTCTGATGTTTTCCATTTTTTGGTTGAGGAGCTTTTCCTTTTCCTCGCGTGACATCTAAGAAAAAACAAAACAAAATGGCAGATATGTAACAAGAATTTGATACAGTACACCAACTGTGTTCATCAACTTTTAAAAAATATCTTTGTTAATAAGGATTTCTATCAGCACGGTTCTAATCTAATCTTAAAAATATAAAAAGCAATAGGCATAATGTTTTCAGCCGAGAAGGACCTTTAAAATAGAATGTTCTTTATAATAAGCAAGGTCCCTCCCCTAATACAACAATAAAATAAATTAAAGTGATATAGCCAATAATAGTTGTGGTTCAAATCAAGCAAAGCATCACCAGTAGATATAAGTGGGGTCATTCAATACATGCTATATACCATCACCCAAAATACCCACAGACAGCAAATTTTTCCAGAGCAACACAATGCCATCTTTATTGATGAAAAAATGCAGCTAAAATAATTAATAAAAGCTGTGAAAAAGTAGTGCGCTTTGAAAGATCCAATCACATGTTCCATACATCACAAGAATCTCCCATGTTGAGATGCTCACATGCAAGAACACAAGTTATAGAAATAAGATGGTCATCGATATTCCTTTACATTGTGTTGTCAAGGTAACAGCCATTATCTTAGGCAATATGTACAGTACACATTTGGAGTTCTAAGGAGACAAACTTATCTGACAACTCAAGTAATGAATCATGTATCAAAGATGCAGAAACATAAAAACTTCCCTGAAATTTAAATTAAACTCATCACTTATCTTTTACACATAAGCACATTTGTATAGTGCACCTTACTAAGCAAGAAATGTATAAATAAATCTCCCTAAAGTTTAAATACTGTAATTCCATGAAAGAATTTCTACATGGATGCAAAAGTGAAAGCACATGTGTATCCATCTTATCAAAACACATGTGTTCACATCTTTTGACACTGTACTGTACGGTATTTTTTATTGTAAATACACTTAACTTCTGTTCAAACAGCAAGATAACCTAAACTTTTGGTTTGGTCTTGTAAAATTAGTGATCACAGTAAAGGGGAGACCACGTAACTTATAATTTTTTATTATGGGCAGTGAATACTGTACCACAGGATCTTATTTTTTTCAGATACTGATGTCCATAATTCTCATAAGCACACACAGCTACTGTACTGTACTTCCTTGCGTACAATTTACAGAGTAAACTACCGTACTGTACTGTAATACTTTTATTTAAACATTGCACAAGTATTAGGCAAAATGAAATCAGGTCTTTTAGCCAATTAAAACAACTCAATACGCATATTGATTGTATAATTTAAGTGCCTTAATAAAATGAAAAGTACTTTACAAATATACTTTGAATATTTCTAAGACACACCAGATGTTATGACAATCCTTTATGCACTTGTACACATTTTCAAATATCACAATGGCAGGATACTAAATTTTTCACTGTCGCCTCTCCTCCTGAACCACAAACCCAGACTTGTGAATCCGAAGCATTTATGGACAAAATAATACAGTAGTGTCTACCGCTTCGGGTTTACGAGTCTGAATCTCTGGGTTTGTGTAACAGTAGAAGAGGCAACAGGACTTTCAGGGTAACTGTACATATCAAAGAGAAAAAAATTAATATACCCCAGTCCATACTGTTATATATGCTTGGCTCTGATAGCAAATACTTATTTCTCAGTAAAACTAAAAAAAAAAGACCTTTCAGAAAAGCTTCAAATAATATCTTACATTACAAATATGAAGAAATCCACCATTGGGATGAGAGAAATTAAATTCTGAATATTTAAAGATGTAAAATTTCTTTTCAGCTTTACTGAACTATCCATACCTTTTTATGATAAAAATCAATACAAGTAGAGTACAGTGAAAGATATAGTAAATAAAATTTTAACATGCCCCGGTAATGTAGTATACAGTGTAGACGTCATAAAAGTACAAGCAGAAACTAAAATTGTGTTTTTAACGTTCCTAAACATTCATGCCGATAACTTGCGATAAGTGAAGTGTACAATGTAAAAGAAAGTGAAAGGAAAAGATAATCCACTCAATAAAAATACATCAAGAATCAGATGACCCATTGTTCACATTCTGCGTGAGATAACAATCCGGCATACCCTGTATTTCATATTAGTATAAGACCCTAAAAAACAAAGTGATGTGAGGTGTGCTTGAATACAGAATAAATCAGCACCTGCAGCTGTTCTTCCTTCTTTTGGTCAGCCGACGAGTCAACCATGATCAGTAGTGAGCACAACTGAGATGTTCCACTAGCCATCCTACCACTGCTATTGCTCTTGTGGTCAATGTCATCAGCCATTCTGGCAAGTATATTAGTCCATGCCACACACAGCACTGGATTATTCCAAATTAATCTTTGACGGCTTTATCCTCTTTTACTGCATTTTAAACTGGATTTCTTCCTTTATATGGTATTAGGCTTGTAATAAATACACTGAAAAGAACAAATTAATTTCTTCTAACAAAGGAGGGGCATATACTCGTATATGTAAACTTTTTTTTAAATTAATCTCATTTGCATAGTAAATGAAACAGGGCTTTCAGTAAATATTAAGTACAGTAAATGAGTAAGGGAATAATGACATCCATGGTTTATTTAATGTAAACTTACTAAACAAATTTAACACATTACAGAAACTAGGAGTCATGAATTGGGAATAAGTGCAGTTAGAAATTTAGTTACAGTACGTAGTTTGATATTTCTTAATCATTATATAAATGACAAATTGATATTGGGAACCCCCTTTTATGAAGCAACTCGGGAATTCCACACCAAGTTTGAGGTCAAAACCCAGGTAAGCCCTAGACAAGAGTACAATTGGACTTATTCCCACTGAAAGAGATCTTAAAAGGGGGTCTTGTAAAAAATAGTCACCAATTAAGGTCAAAGCCAATGAATCAAGACATCACATCAGCTGTGTTTACCTGTACCTCATTATTGTCACCTGTCATGCTGTCAGCCATAACCTACGAACTTATAAGGTTAAACCTAACTCAATTGAACCATCAACTTATCACATAGCTATGCCCTGGGAGGAGGGAGGGTAGCAGTCATTTAATCTGGACTCAGTCATAGGGGAAGATTAATCTTGAAATCTCAATTTATAAGTGAACATGGAAGTAGCTAGAGAAGTCTAAGGGATGAAATCATTGGTCCAAGGGCTCAACTTTTGGCTGGAATAATTTCAGTCTTGCTAACTTGCATATCTGAGGAGGGAATATATCAACCATAAGGACTGTGAATTCTCAGAGATTTGTTTTATCATCACCATCACTGTTGACTGCCTTTTCCCATGCTTGCCTGGATTAACAATGGTTATCTGAAGGCAGCTATTGGGTAAAACCAAAATGGGATGCGCCCCCCTCCCCCCCACCAACTCATCACCACAAATTCTTGGAACCGGCCCATAAAAATGCAGCAGATACCAGGGGATGGGCACAGTTCTGGTGACCCAGTTGTCAGTAGGCACGTTGAGGCAAAGTTTTACAGCTAGATGCCCTTCCTAACGCCAAAAGAGAACAGCTGGGTATTTGCATGAACAATAGAAGAAAATCAATAATAATATATGTGATTAGTTTCAACGGTGCCACATATACACATGTCCGCAACCACACCAACCTTAGCACAAAATGAATGTGAAAGAAAACTTTGAAAATTAAAAGTCTGCAATTCTGAAGACGCACCGGTAACTCTGTAAGCTGTTAGTGCTGTCATGAATTGCGTCATCCATGTGAAACTGGTGTATGATTGGTCGACACAGTTACCTCAAGGCAGTTCGGGATTATGCATCCTGGACCGGGAATGAAAAGAGGCACACACGTTTCAGCGTTGCCAATTCTTATTATTGTACTGTACTTTCATTCACGAAGAAAGCTTACTCCATACATTCTTGTAACTACGTTTCATTGAATCTAAACATAAATAAACTGCATTATTTTGTTGTGACAACGAAATTTTAAACCTATCGTTTAGACAAACGCCAACAAAAACCCAACTTAATCGTATAATTCGATGGTAGTATTAATATACAAATAATCAGTAATGTTTATATTTAAAGTATACAAAACGCCAGGGTTGATTATACTATACATACAGGTAGAACGCTTTAAGAAAAAGGAAGCAACTTTTTTTTTTTAATTGTGCCACTAGCAAGCACCTTGACGCCCAATCGCCATTGGTTTGTACGTCATTGTAGTGGACGTCTCCCATCTGTCATTGAAAAAAAAACCTCATCTCAAACAATATAAATTCCCCATTACAGAAATATTCTAAACAAAAATATAAATTGTAAAATATTTATTATTTATCTTCCTACTGCTATACCACTTAATATTGTACTTGTCATTCTAATTTTACAAACCAAAGGATATAATGATATAATTAATAATTGTAATTAGATTCACTATTAACATATGTGTAACACGATGATTAACAAATTACGAAAACAGGAACACAGCCAGTTTCCTTCTTACAAGTTAATTAAAGTTTTAGAGAGAATGCACCTCCCCTTTACGGTAAAAGTCGTAAAGAAACATACGACATAGCGAAAAATTAAAATAGTATTCCGAAAAACTTGTCAGTAGTATGATGATGACTTTGTAACACATGTTCTCCTTCATACTAGTTAAAGGCGTAGAGACCCAGACACAGCAACACGACATTATCAGCATGCGCGACCACCCAACAGGTGGACACAGCCAGAGTATCACCCTGACAGCCTGCACTCGATGGAAAAATCGCCAATTGGTCTTAAATGTGCACATACGCAGAAACCACTTTCATGTTCGCCAGACAACACCTAAATCCCTAACATACACTGCCGCTAATGGCGCTCAATTCACTTTTTCTTAAAGCACTGCAGTCTTTAGTTTTTGCGGTATGTTCATATTACTGTTGCCACTTTTGTTTTCCAACGTGTTTAACTACTCATTAGTACAGTATTCATTAAGTTCTACATATTTACTGCCTAAACGGCATTCACTCAACACTTAAAACTATATATATATATATATATATATATATATATATATATATATATATATATATATATATATATATATATATATATATATATGCGAATGCATAATTTTGACTAATGGGGTAAAACAAGAGGCTATGAGGAACACACAGACAAGCCTGCATCCTCCACTGACAAACAGTGACTGGTTAGCTGGTAGGAGGGAGGAAGGCAAGAGGTACCTGGGTGTTCCGCTCTTTCCACACAGTAACCGCTCGCAGTTGTCGCCAATCGCTCAACTCAACGTACTGTATGTATACAAATGCACGTTCAAAACTAAGCAAATAAAACAGACATGAAGCAGGAAACAAGCCACAAAATTCATCGCTGTCTCGAACATCAAAAAACGCGTTTCAACATTTTATTCATCACAACTTTTCCAATCTAGAATCGTGTAATCATACCACCCATCCCTATAACATGAAGCGCATCTTCCGTATCCAGTTGCACACTATCACACCTAATACCACCATATATGCATTTGTCTTAATCAATGTCATCTTAAATGTTACATTTAGCGTCAGACATGGTAGGAGTTTTCACATCATTGATTGTTTTTCCGAGTGCAACTGTTGTTTTGGCATTTAAAAAGGCAGACTTACACATTCCTACTGCTACAGGTTAAACCACGAACTTTAACATAGATTGTTCGTCCACCACCTTTCCTATAATATTCCATACATCAATATTTCAACGCCTATCACGATTTTAATTCCAACAGTGATTAATATCGACATCTGACCCGTCGCGGCGTAATTTACTTTGATGGATCTGCAAATATGGGCCTAGCTTGTGATATTCTTGTATTGTAGTGGATTCCTCCCCTACACACCTCCCTCACACCCCCAACCCCCCTCCCTCGTACCATAACAATACATACAATATATATTTTGAGTGGGGAAAATTGACCAATCTGGCATGTTTGTACAGAATTCCGGTTATAATTCTACGTTCAAAACTTTAGACTAAGAAACAAGTTTTCACCATGGTCAACCTTGTAAACATAACCTCTCAAGAAAAATACGTCAGTCACGCTATCACTTTCACCATAAATTACTGGTATTTACGACCAAGGCAACGAAGGCCGTATTCTGAATATAAATTATTCAGAAAAAATTCATGTTGAATTTTACAGAAATTACGGCCCAGTGAACGGTGATCTGAGTCTTGACAGCTGAAGCATCGAAACAAAAAAAGTACTGGGTGTCCAGAACCGTACAGCAGCGTCTGATTACCTGAATATCTAACCGGAGAGAGACTGGCTAGCTTTAGCCAAAGTACAAAACAACATTATCAGACACTCGGCACTATATGATATGTTCACTTAGCATCAGACATATTAAAAACAAGATAATACTTGGAAAAACATTTTCAACTTTAATTTTGTCCCCTAACTGGTGCTAAGAGAACGTATCTATTTATAGTGGTCAGTGTTATTTTAACGCTGATTTTGGACGTTATTTTTTAGATTTGGTTAAAACTAACTTACTAAGTCCACTCTTAAATCTTCAAATATAAGAACTATTCCTTACACGGAACAAGAGTAAGGAAGAGAGGTGACGCAACCATTTTCATTTTTACTCAATGGTAAACTGGGAAACAAAGTTCAGTAGGAACGGACTGCTAAGCTATGCCAAAACTTATCAAATTACTTCTAAAATAACATGGTTTGTTAAATTGTAATTATTCTCAGAAGGCGCATGAGGACGCGGCCAACATGTCACGGGACTCCAATAAAATTGAAATCGGCATAAAAATCACACAATTATTATGTTAAGCCAAAAAAATCAAGAGTCATGGCAGTCATTCTGACAAATTTTGTTATCAATATACCTAGCTCCTCATGACAAGCCATGTAGTCCATTTCACTTATTAGCAAAGAATAAAAACAAACAGGGAACAAGCGGCGCGCGTGCAGTCAACCCAGGAGGGGGGTGAGTCATCCCTGCGGTCTACCTTCCGTGTCTCCGAGAAGGACCCTCTGACTCAAGTTCTTCTCTTCATGATCCACCGATGACTTTGACAACTCCTCACAGTGCATACTTTACAAAGAATCCCAAAAGATTATATCAATTTGATTACTCCGGTAAGATAAAAAAAAATCTGGTGCTACTATAGTGTGCGGTCTAGAAAGACATCTTTAGTCTAACCTGACCTAATCTAAGTGAACTTAAATATCTTGTAGACCGTCCGTTATTGTAGCACCGAAATTCTATATGCCCAGTAATGCCAAACTCCTCATATCATCGTTAATGATTACTATCTACTCCAAATACGTGCCTGTCAGGAAGTTTAGGATAGTATTTTTGTAGCGTCAGAAACAAATATACAGAACGTAAAAGTACCAGGAAAGCAAAATTTAACAATTCTTTAACTGAAGATGTCAAGAAATAATCTCACTAATTGAATTACTGTATATTGAAGTACAAAAATACCGTCCAAATGGAACATCAAAATTACAGTCTTCACCTTCAGAAGATTGCATTCTAATTATCACGGTCTGGGGCCTCCCCCGGTGTTATAATTATGTTATAACCCTGTACAATCGATGAGGTGCACACTCACCCCCTCTCCACAACCTTCACTTCACATCTCAAATATTATTTCGTTTAATTTTCTACCAGCAAATTTGGAAACATAGAACGTATACACTTATAATAGTCTCGATATGTAATTCCGACGACGTTGCTTAACCGAGTCAGTTAGTTGCGTTCTTTCATCTCAAGGTAAGGATGTAATTCCACGTGAGAACCTTTAAGAATAATGGAGCTGAGGGTCGGTCCATGAACTACAAAGAATGTGTACACCACTAACCACAGTGACAACATTTGGCGTGCAACCTCCCTCACATCGGTACAGTACAAACTCACATACAGTCTCTCGCTCTCAATAATTTAGTAGGCTCCTTCCCCTACTCTTATTCCCTCATCCTTTCTCTTTTATTAACTTACTCTTGTCCTCTCTATTACTCACTTCCTTCCTCACTCACTCACTATCGCTACCTCTATTGTTCCCCCCACTACGTTACTCTTCTCACTATTACTGGCATACTCGCCCACCCCCTCCCCCACTGTACTCACTCATTCACGTGTTTAATTTTCCCCCAATCACCCTCACTTCCTCTCTCCAACTCATTTCATTCTCAATTTCAGTCCCTTATTCCCCCATTTATTGTCACTCACTCACTCCCCCAATTCACCCCCAGACTCGTTATTACTCACTTTCTCCCTTGCTCAGTCACACTTACTCCTTCACACAATTTCCTTCTCCCTATTACTCACCTGCACTTCTGGAAAGCCTTTAAACTTCTTGTCTCAGTTTGAGTTAACTTATACATGACTTTGACTTGTTCAAACCAACCATGAAGCTGACACTCAACACCTTTTTCATATTATAAATTAATAAATTAACCAAAGACATAGAAGGGATTTGAAGGAAATAAAAATTGTCAAGGTACTTTACAGAGTCCATTACTGAAACTTAGAATGATTTCATAGAACTTGTGGATTCTTGTTATTGGGAGTCTAACCTTACTGGGGAATAAAAAAAAAAAAATCCATTCAACTTAGGGAGAAGACAGATGCAATTAACCGGAAATTCTTAAATTTGTACTTACACCTGGGTCAAGTGACATGGTGATTGGCGACACTAACAGAGGATGAGCACCACAACCAACTGGAACAAACATTGATAATATTGAGTACAGAATGGGAATTAAACATGCATTTACTCTAAATTATACACAATAATTCATTAAAACAATTTCCCCTACAGATTACCATATTGAACCAAATACATTACAAAAATATATAAACACTTTCAAGATATGCAATTTGATTGATAATTTACAAGCTTGTATTTTGACCATCAAGCATTGAGGTTAGATAACATCATGTCCCATCAGTGATTTTTTAACCCCGTAGTGAAAAATGGACAGGTGTCCCCAACTTACGAACGCCCGCCGATACGAACGGGGTTAAACTTTAAATTTACAGTACTGTATTTTATTTATCTGATGACTTTTTTTTACTTTCATTTACTGTATGTTGTCATTCTATTTTTGTCTTAAAATAAGTGATTTTAGATATATGAGTATATAAGACTTAGGCTATGATATAGTGGGATTTTAAACATTGTTCTCTAAGTACGGCATGCACATAGCATGTGTTCAGACTTACGTACAAATTCGACTTTAGAACGTCGTCAGGAACGGAACCCGTTCATAAACCAGGGACCTCCTGTATAATATAAAGAAGGCTGATCTTCATACAGTACAGAGAAACAGCTACCAGCGACTGTTCCATACAAGGAACAATTCCAGTAACTGTTACCTAACCTATGGTACCTATCCTTTGTTAGGTAGTATAGTGTTCAGAAAATAAATTACTAAAATAATATTACGTACAATAACTGTAAATTCTATTCAATTCGGGGATTTTCTTGAGGTAAGAATGAAGTTGTCTTCTATAGAAAAATGTTCTCATGTCACTGGTTAACCTATGCAACCATTCCAGAGTACTGTAAATTACTGTACAGTGTTACCATGTTTCTGCCATAAAACAAGGTAACAGATACTGTACTCTAAAACATGGTCCAGCTTTAACCAGCAACTTAAAAAAGAAAATTCATAGAAGATAACTTCTTTCATACCTCGAGAATACAGGGTGTCAAAAAATGTGGAGGAACTGTACTACCTAGTTCTTGTTATAAATAAATACCGTACACAGAAACGAATTACTGTACACTAGTGTTACATTATATGATTTCTTGGAATAAGATAAACTAGCCAATGATACCTCTGTCCTACCTTACATAGGATAGGTAGGTTAGGTTGGTTCATCTCACTTAAATCCTATACAGTACAGTAATGTAGTATTAGCTGGTAAGTTGTTTATGTGTATGAAAAGTGATTTAAAGATTAAATCCCCAAAATTGTAATTTTGGGGATATTTTTAACGTAATCAAGAAATTATGATCGTCTCTACAAATTTTTTTCGATTTTGCTGATTCAACATGTGTATGGAATGGAAGCATTCCTGTCCATGAAACATATGTCTTTTGCTGCTCACATAAACAGTCAATATGACATTACTGAGAGGTAGCAAATATAATATGGCCGATGGTATTTGCACCCGACAGTGTAAATAATGAAACTGTTATTTGCACCTGAACTTCGCCATCAAGAATATTGGGTGCAAAAGTGAAATTGTTATCTGCATCCGAGGTGCGTCATGGCGAAATTTTGGTGCAAATTGCTTCACCTATCTACACCCGAAATTACCGTATCATATCCAATGAAAGAAAGATGAAAATGAAGTGTGCAGCTACTCAAATTAAAGTAAAAAAGACAAATGAATTTATTTGTGCCGACTTTCGGTATTTGCCATTAATGTTTACAAAGGAATTTTAAAAATTAATACCATCTCATACATTATTTACTTTATTATCGAATACTTTAATCTCTGGTACAGAATCTAACCTAACCTTACCTAACTCCGTAACTGGGGGCCTCCGCCCCCAGATCCTCCGCTATATTAAGCAGATAGAACTTACAGTAAGTTCTGTAAGTTCTACCTATTAGTTTGTTTGAGGGATTGATAGTCATCTGGACCCAAGTTTGTCAGTGCAAAATTCTTATAATATTCAAGAACAGTGTTGAAATATCGGGTTCAAATAATTGTTTAACTATTTGCGCCTGATTCTCATCATCAAGGGGATCAGTTTGTAAGTGCAAGAGTCAGGTGCAAATAACAAAATCATTATTTGCACTATCGGCTGCAAATACCCACTTTGATATAAGCTGTATTAGGAAAATTGAAATTCTTCCACCTGTTTTGGCATAAGCCAAGTCTAATTATACAGACAAATCTCATCACAATTTGTCTTGTGATGGCCGAGAACTGAATGATTCTCGAATAACTTACCGTAACCTAACCTCAAGCGAGAAACAAAGTGATAAGCAAAATTTCTAGGATATTGCATGCGGCACCATGATGAGATTTGTCCACGCAATTAACCATGGTGCTTGGAATATTGTTGAGGTAAGAAAGAAGTTATCTTCTATAGAAAAAATTTCTGAAATTACAGGTTAATACTGGACCATGTTCCAGGGTATTACTAGATATAATGTCCAGTAATTCTGTAGAAACCTGGAAATCACTAAACTGTTTGGTTAATTTAAAAGTTATCATCAAATTCACCCAATTTTATTTTTAAAAGTTTTCATTCTTGGAAATATTTCCCCTGAATGGTCTTGTTGACAACTTGTATGTCAAGATCATGAATTACCTGTGAGACAGACTAGCATGTAGTACAGAAGAGCTGTGGTAGGTTAGCACTTCAACCTTCTAATGTGAATAAACAGGATGCGTCCGTCTCCCATTCTGTAGTGTCAGGGATCGATCCTTAGTGGAAATAGGATTTTTTAAAGAAGACAGTGTTGGAAGAGCTGTATGGAAGGTGTTTCAAGAATCATCCTACCACTCAGACAGGCTCGGGAGAGACTGCAAGTGTATGGATGAAACACTCCTATGTCATTTGCCAAAAAACCCTTAGATTAAACTACTGAGTTAAAATCAATCACTTCTAAGGGACCGAATCATTCTGGAGATTAATGATCTCGTATTTGGACTTGACCTATTAACTGATCTGTCAGTCACTTTCATTCACGAACTTGGGTACTGTATTTGGTGACCTCCCGTGCTCATCTCACTTACCTTCAATCCACTACTAACGAAAAATTCACCTCACATCCGTGTTCTTATAATGTAATAATATCGTGTTTGTATTCCAAGACAACAATGCAAATTATCAATAATTACCTGGTGAAAAATAATTTTTGATGTTGCACTGCCAGTGTCCTAAGTCAATACATTGGAGCACACACTATCATGAGCGAACACTCACAAATGTCAAAACACACTGTGCACACATTATTATCATACACAAGTTGTCTAACAAATTCGCTTCATTTGAACCTGATGCGAAGAAAAATTATTCTTCGTTTAAATCTCAAATATAGTACCATATAAAATTATATAAAAATAATAAGAAACGTAAGGCCTGTCCATTAAATAATCAAGTGAAACAATTGGATTCTCTTTTGATAACATTACCTTTCGTGTGACGTGGTTTTAGTTTGTCTCTAATAGCCTAATAATATCAGGCGGTGACAATGATTATATCAAAGACAATTATTACAAAATATGTTCGCACGTACAGTACAGTATGCCTTGTTAGTGTTCGCTACCGAAAGTGTGCGGCGGATGTGTGAGCTGCTCCAACTTTATTTGTTTGTTTAGGTTTAATAAAGAAAACGTACGGATTTACAGGATAACTAAAGCAATTTCTATACAATTGCTTTGCCTTTATACTTTACTTTTTTATCCTCTTCGCCACTGATCGGCCAAATGCATATATAACGGGCTATATTTAATCATTTCATTATTGTCTTTAAACAGATCAAATCAGAACTAATATTACCAATAAACTCCTCGGCATATAAACCGTGTTACCTATTGATAACAAAATTGTTAATTCTTTTGATGAAACCCAATTGATAATATGGCCAAACTTTCGGAATGTGTGCATATTTTTTTAAGAGGAATAACCCACCAGGGCACAGGTCATCGACCCACAACGGGGCGGGGGGAGGGGGTCAAAAATAAGAATAAAAATAAATGAAAAGTAGAAGAAAAAAATATTATATTAATCTACACCACGAAGATGCCGGAAGACCAGCTTTTTGAAGTAAGACAGATTGCATGAGTATGGAAACACAGGAGAAGACAGAGCATTCCACAGTTTGGCTATTCTACTGTGACCACAGAAACGGTAGGCATCGCGGTAAGACAATTGAAATATTGGTTGAAATGTTAAATTTCAAAATAAATGATAACATATCGTACATATGTCACTAGTTAAGGTGGCATTGTTCTCCAGATTTAATTGTTATTTCGTAAGTGGCGATAAGAGACCAAATTTACATGATATAATGGTGATGACAGGATATGCGAAGAAGCAAGAAACTGATTGGCCTAGCCTATGGAACAATAAGAATGCTGATTACCTGGATAATCATAGAAAATAAAGTAAAATTCTTGTCATACACCCAAGACCAATCCATAAGCGTAAAATCTTGATGTGCAACAAGCGACGTGGTGCAGAGGGTGTGCTAAGACAATGTGCCTTTGCCATTACTGGGCCCACTCTTGTTCACAATCTACATAAACGATCTAAATACTGGGATCAGCAGTGACATAAGCAAGTTTGCGGATGACACCAAAATTGGGTGGCAGATTAATTCAGGGCAGGATGCAAATGCACTACAGGAGGATTTAAATAAACTGCAGGAGTGGTCAGAAAAATGGCAAATGAAATTCAACACCAGCAAGTGCAGTGTACTTAATATTGGAAGAACAAATACTGTCATTGTATACAGCCTTAACAACATCAACCTAGAGAAGTCGACTTGTGAAAGAGACTTAGGAGTACAGTACTTGTAAGCCCTGACCTACGGCCAAGAAAACAGTGCGTTAATGTTCGAAATAAGGCAAACAGAGTATTAGGTTTTATATCTAGAAGTGTAAGTAATAAGAGTGCAGAGGTCTTATTGAAACTATATCTTGCGCTAGTCAGGCCGCACCTCGATTATGCAGTTCAGTTCTGGTGCACTTATTATAGAATGGATATCAATTCACTGGAGTCGGTGCAGCGAAGAATGACGAAAATGATTCCGGGACTTAGAAATCTTCCATATCAAGATAGGTTAAAGAAACAACCTGCATTCCCTAGAAAGACGAAGAGTGCTGGGAGATATTTTAGAAGTATTTAAGTGGGTGAAAGGAATCAATAAAGGAGATATAGATAAAGTTCTTATAATATGTGAGCAGGATAGGAGTCGTAGCAACAGATTTAAGTTGGATAAGTTTAGGTTTAGGAGGGAGATAGGAAGGAACTGGTTCACAAATAGGGTGGTGGACGAGTGGAACAAGCTTAGCAACTTTGTAGTAAGTGCTGGAATGCTGGAAAGTTTTAAAAGGAGGCTAGATAGATTCATGGATGATAGAGAGTGGTAGTAACTCTCGACAGGAGCTGCCGTACACAGGCCAACCGGCCTATTGCAGACTCCTTATTTTCTTATGTTCTTATGTTCTTATACATAAATGACGTGTTAGATGATATTTACTCATTTATACAATTATTTGCCGATGACACTAAGCTATTTAGGGATATTATTAAATTAACAGACTGTGACATGTTTCATAGTTAATGAATTAATGTGGTATAAAATATATCACACTTTAACTCAGGGTACCATTTATCACAGTTTAAAGCAGAATAACTCAATATAACATGTATTAATTTAACATATAGTTATCACAGTTTAAAGCAGAATAACTCAATATAACATGTATTAATTTAACATATAGTTATCGCAGTTTAACAACAAAATTCAGCGTTATAGTGCGATGTAACCAATGCATGACATTATGGACTTTACCAATTTATCACAATACTTTATATGAAAGCGTAAGTCATTATCGTTCAGTGATATCGCGATAATTCTTTGCAACATCAGGGTCACTGAGCATAAGTAAAAGGTCAAGGACGCACGAAAAGATTATATTACTAAACTAAATCCCTAGTTGAGTCTGTGCAGCAAGTACAGGGGCTTGGCACAGTCATCAGAACTTGTATTTAAATCTAATTGATTAGGAAGAGAGATACAGAAATCCCACGAGCAATTTTTTATCATGCAGTGAAAAGCTATACAGATCAAGATAAAATTAAGATTTCACACGGTCAAATGTTGAATTATTAAATCAATTAATTGCAAGCGTCCGTCAGCCAATGCATATTTTCTTACGTCTGGCTAGGAGTATGGCGCGACCAAAGGAGAGCAAGCGTTATTGTTTCCTGTTATTGTGATTTGCCCAGATTTTCACACATTTTCCCGTTCATCTGTTAAGCGTATGTGGTTGATCTTAGAAAATAATTAGTCGATAACGCAAACTCATCGGTTTATTTTCCTCGTGTACACCACTGTTGCATTCCATGACAAAGTATATAAATTGCATTTTGTCTATCAAGAGTTACAGATTGTTCTTAAAGTAAAGTAAAATAATTGTAGAAAAAGTATTAATTAAACAATAAAATACCTGTAATCAGTTGAACTTGATAGATTCGATTGAAGAAAGTGTTCCATTGTTTTATTCCTCAGACATGCAGAATAAGAAGTTAATGCTATTCCAACAATAAATAGTTCGTATCTTCCCTTACACCCACATCACTACCATTACACTCATCACCCTCGTCCACATCAACATCTCATCCCTATTTCCACCACCACTCATAACATATCTCGCTTCTTATACCTTCCCAGCCAAACCCACCCCATGAGGCGAGCGTCACTAGCATGGCAGCACTACGGGTGAGTACTTGGTATTCTTCCTCCGTGGCCTGCACAGTGCACTCCCTTGGCATGACCGGCGCCGCACAGTGTCCGTGCTCACACACCCAGCTGCATCCCGACTGGGAAGTGAGCACCCACAGGAGGCCCCTCTCCATTTCCAGATTTAAGACAAGCCACAAGACACTTGGAGGGTATGTTATACCCAAAGAAAACAGCACGACACCCTGGGCCTGTGATGCTACACCTAAGAGCCATGGCGCTTCATCCTTACACAATTACACTACACCCGAGAATCGTGGTGTTACACCCAGGGACGACAGGACCACTCGCCAACCTCCACTGCTACTGTTCCTGTTGCTTTTACTGACAAGACCGCTGGTAATCGCCGCCGCCCAGGGTAAGTTAAATTTATCTTACTGTGTAGGTTACTGTAGGTCTGATTAACTTAGAGGACCACCAGACTGGTGCCTGCACTCCACCACCTCAGGTACCCAGATAGATTAGAGCGCTTGCAGTTGTCTAGTTTATACTACAGACGGGCAAGAGGTGATTTAATATAAATTTATTTGTATCTCAGGGGATATGACTCAGTTGAGTGTTCATATCTGGAATTAGTGGATGTCCGTCCCACTAGAGGTCGCAGCCTCCTGTTAAAAAGCTACACGATCAGAAAATTGTCAGGGGGATTTGTGACGGCACCGAGTGTGAACTCATTTAAGACCAGACTTGACCAACACTGACACAGGTTCAGATACATTCTGGAGTCAGTACGTGCCCTGCCAATACTTGCCAACAGTGCATAACACAGACGTGACCGACCGCCCAAGTTGCTAACATGCAGATCAGTGGCGAAAAGAATAAAGTAACTTAGACAAACCAAATTAAATTAAACCAAATATAACTTAACCCATAGTTCCCTCTGGCATTAGTTCTGTAAATGTTCGGCCGTATCATACGAATGACAAGTATACTGTATATATTTAAGTCAGAGTTCGAAGTGTAACAAGATACATGAGATGGAGTTACTTTGTTTTGAACTTTGTTGTTCAGTGTTAGTATCAGGAGGAAACCTGCAATGTTTGGTAGGGTCACAAAGGATGACACCTTTCCCATCAGCACCAGTACCGCGGGTTACCGCTCTGTCTACTGTATACTTGACCAAATAGCTCCGAGACCGCTACACCGGACGAAAAGTGATTATCACCCCTACAATAGCTTATTTTAGTGTGCAGTGGTGCGCACAAGACTCGACATGTAAAAATGAGAATATTGTATGCAAACTCCGTTAAGGGATTTTTTTTTACAATAGACAGAAATAGACTTTAATTTTTACAGTGATAGTAGTATAGTTGGGTCACCAAATTACAGTCGTTGTCACGTAATACTACCTTGTGAGGTGTCACGGATCGCTCAGAACTGAACATGGTGAATATGGCGCTCTTTCTTTCCTTCCGTCTTTCTCCCAAGAAGTGGTGAGTGAGGTAGCGGGGGTGACGTCAGCGGGAACATGTGGAGGCCCTGGATATCTCAGGTGTGAAGAATTAATCTCAGTCGAGTGAGCGTGTGAGGGTGGGATACATAAGGCGAGGCTTCTGTCGGTACAGGTGGTCATAGGTCTGTTTACTGCCTGGGGAAAGCTCATATGCCTGCCCCATACAGGAGAGAAAGCTTAAGAATGCTTAGACTGAAAATACGTTCTGTTGATTTGTGTCGTTGAGCAGTGGAATTAAGATGATATAATGTTACTCAATAAAACAGGGCAACAGTTTATGGTAGGTGTGCGTGATGGGCTATACATCTCACTGTCAACACACCGCGTGCCCAGCTACAACCGCTTCAGAGGTGAGTCACCTCTTGCCACGACATCACCAGCTTATAACAACACAACACTGACCTTCCCCTATCCATAACCAGTACAGCTTATGTCCGTGGCATGAATATCGCTTGCAATTGTGGGTTAAATTGATATAATAAAGTAAAAGTATATTTAAAAAAAGCTTACTTTTACCTGTACTAGCTATAATGTACCCCACTACTAACTATCCAACACGATGAGACTGAGCCAAGGCTACTTAACCTCACTCAATCTTTTTTTTATCAGTGAAAAGTACAAATGTAACCATTAATCACGCATGCATATTTATGGCACACACACACACACACACACACACACACACACACACACACACACACACACACACACACACACACACACACACACTAATCGTAAACATCAACCACATCAGCGATGGACGTAAATATATGCAGTCACCATATATTCACGATGCCCGTAGTTTTATTATAAATTGAATGAGTCTGTTAAACAATCTGGGTCGAGGCCAAAATATATTTTAAAACCACAAGATGCGTGACAGCTGAATGTTTGGACACCTGAAGATCCCTCTTACCAGGTTGTGACAGCCACACTCGTATACTGGACAATATACGGTATGAGGAGTAATACAAGACGGTCTTGCGAGTGTTTTACTTTATTTCAAGACACGATGGGTCATCTTTGGCCATGTTTGTTTGATCTTGTCAGTCAGTATGACTACTTGAATCATTCAAACGTTGTTCAGCGACAAGGAAATCCCTGCAGAACATTTCACGGATAGATTCTTATTAATATATAAACTTCTTTTTTTTTGCTATAGAACTTTAATAATTCTCAATGAACACAACCTGCTGGCCTTTTACTCGCCTTCTTAACACGTGTAATGCTCAATCTAGTCTTTCTTCCAATACCTATGATTCAATAATTTCCTCTTCGCCACTGATCGGCTAGTTATCCTCTCGGGAGGTCGGTCACGTCTCTGTTAGGTACTGTTGGCAAGTACTGAGCATGTATACTATGGGTCCAGAATGTATCTGTAACTGTGCCAGTGTTGGTCAAGTCTGGTCTTGAAAGAGCTCACACTCGGTGCCTTCACAACAATCTCTGGCATCGTGTTCTAAGAGTTTACAATTCTCACTCCACATAAATATGTCTTAAAATTTTTCTGAACTTGTGGCTTCTTCACCCTTGAGCTGTGACTTAATTTTGTGGGACGGGCGTCCGCCAGCTCCAGGTATGCACACGCGACCGAGTGCCCTCCGAGATGCTTATAAACTTTAATTAGGTCACCGCTTGCAGGCACCAGTCTGGTGGCCCTCCTTTGAACATTTTCGATCAACTGACAGTCTCTAGCATCTCTATGTTGAAATAATAAAGGGCTGTATATGACATTTTCCACTTGTTTCTGTGCAACATAAATTTCAAGATCCTCAGGTCACCGGACTACTAGATCATACCAAGATACCCTTCAGCAGATGTTCAAATGGAAGTACGACGCTCATGTTTGGTATTATGTCCTATATTTGTGGACGTAAAATATGCAATGTTTTAAGACCACAAAATTGTAATTTTAATTTATAGCTACACCTCACAACACAGAGATTGAGACAGCACATATGTAAAAAGACAAAGGTAATGAATCTTACGACAAATAACGAAGATCTCGAGTATATGAGAATAAAAACATGACTTTAAAAAAGTACCCTATGAATACCGAGACCCCGTACGTATCTGGCTGAGGACCGATCACTCTTGGGGGGGTATTCCTGTTGTTGACTTCCGTGGCGCGCCGTGACTCATTCACCATTACCATATGATGGACGAACTCCAGCATGCAAGATGTTGGTCTGCTCACGCCACGCCACCACCCACCCATCTCCTTTCCTCTTTTTTCAAAGGAGGAAGAGGTGGGAAAACAAGGTAGAACAGAAGAAGGGAAATGAAAGATGTAGAAGATAGTTGTACCCACCACCAACCGAACCCACCACTTCCTCCACCATTCAGGTTACCCGAGACAAACGAAGGATATGAAATGCAGTTCTCTGGTTCTTAAATGATGAAAAATAGCAAATAACTGGCTCTCGGGTGATGCGGATTGCAGGTAACCGCCAAACCGGATCTTAGGCGATGAAAATTGCGGCTTACCGGATCTTGGGCTTTGAAAAAAAAATAGTTAACTGGATCGTAGGTGATGATATTTGCAGTTTACCAGATCTTGGGTGATAAAGAACGCAGTTACCTGTTCTCACAATTTGACAAGGATTTGGGGAAGCATAGTTACTGCTAATGTGGAGAAGATTGTTCATTTTGTCATCTGACGGGTTAAGTGAATGTCTCCAGTGTATTCTTTACATAATCTTGGTCATTATATTTGTGATTTAGTTAAAATTAATCTACTAGATGTAACCTGACTGGCTAAAGTTGATCATGATTTTAGTTGACCAAGAGTTAGGTGATCAACTGAGTGGGCACTCGGTATCCTTTCACTGTTGAAATGACGATGCTGTAAAATCCTAACGCCCCACAAGGGGTCACAGCTCAAGGCTGAAGAAGCCGCAGGTCCAGAAAACTGCGAGGGCAAACTTTTTCGGAGTGAGAGTTGTGAATTCTTGGAACAATCTGCCAGAAAGTGTTGTGATGGCACCGAGTGTGAGCTCTTTCAAGACCAGACTTGACCAACACTGGAGCAGGCTCAAGTACATTCAGGAGCTAGTACTTGCCCAGGTACTTGCCAACAGTGCGTAACAGAGACGTGACCGATCACCCAAGCGGCTAACGAGCCCATCAGAGGTGAAGTAGATAAAAAAGAAAAAGAACAAAAATATGATGGTTGTCTTTTGAAGATTGAAAGGGTTGTTAAGGAAGCAATAAATCAGAGCCGAGTTTTATTTAACGTTTCGGCAGGACCTTCAAAGTGACTGGTCATTATTCAGTGATGCAGTTTTATTCTTCATCAACTAAAGTGATCTGCACTGTAATGCAATATAAGTAAGCACCAGGTTTTAGAAAAGTACTGTACGTGTATGGGAATGGTAGTCGACGACAACGATTTGGGCAGGACACGATGGAGGACCACTTGTAGCCACCATTGTTCAGTATTGTCAACACCTGTCACTCCAAACAACTTCGGCCTTAGTGAGATATACATAAAAAAAAAAACTAGATGGAGCAAGTGGCCACATTCCTGGGTGAGGATCATATCGTAGGCGGATACCGACGCTGCCGCAGCAGCGAAGATACTGCCACACTTTACTCCAAACGTATCCTGAAATTTTATATGGAGTACATTTAAATAATTTTTATTGTTATTATTGTTGCTTATCATTATCAAATTACACTATTTTTTATTTTTACTTACCGTCATCGATAGAGACAATTACATGGTAATTAGTCAAGTCTAAATTTGTTAGTTACGTATAATGATGTTCGGGAGAGTGGTGTTCCATTATTTTAATTGATTTGGCAAGATAGAAACCTTTCAATTATTTCGTAACTGATAAATGATACTTCGGCACAGTATCCTGTGATGATTTTTTTTAAAGTGCTTTGTCTCTGCCGAGTTGAATGTTATTATTATTGAGGATGGTGGAGCGTTGTGGCCGCCCCATTGTTATCAAGATAACATATTTCTCGAATGGGTGTTGCTAGAATACCAACAAGTAGACGCCCACGAGTAGGAGCATTAGTGGATACGAAGACATGTTATGGAAGAGGAGGATTTCAAGCCTGAATGTGCGTGTGCCAATTGCTGTCTGGTACACACTGCAAAATTTTCGACTCAGATATCCGGTTATCTAGCTTTTAAGTCACATGTACCCGGTTTTATAGATTTTAGGTCACTCAGATATCTGAGATATCCGGTTATCTAGTTTTTAGAGTATACAAATATCCAGTTACCTAGACTCTAAATCACTCAGATACCAGGCTGTATAACTTATACATCACACAGATACCCAGTTTCCTTGTTTTTATTACACCATGTGGATACCGGACTAACTCAACCCTGGCGCACTCTGGTATGCAATTAACCTGCAGACCGCCGCCAGGTGTTTGTGGAGACCCTCCGCCGTGCTGGCCCAGCAACACTGTCTTAAGTCTTAACCTGCCCAGCCACACTGGAGGTACTTACAAAAACTGGACTTATTACGAGAATTACAGTGATGGTCATACTGCGACGTCAAACAGTGCATACTTATAACACATGAAATTTTTTAATTCATTTGAATCTATATATTATAACCTCATCAAGTTATAAATAAAACTTGCAGATAAGACAGTGCAATGATTATCAAGTACAAAACTGAATTGTATACAAACAAGACAAAGAAAATACTGTTTATCTGTCACATGTATATTAATATCAAGACTAAACAAGGTGGCGAGGTTTGTTTAGGTTAAGTAAGCTGTTATAAACGTAATTTTTTCTGATGTTTCCTATTCTCAATTTTGGCATTAATATTTTTTATACTTGTCGACTCAATTTCAATTTATTGTCAATATAGCAATAAGTACAATACCGTGTGTACATTGTTGTAGTTGATAAGCTGACATGGCGAGGGTGATCAAATTCAACCAAGTGTGCTGATGAGGTGCTCCACTGCCCTCCCTCCCTGCTCTTGTAAACAGACGGGCAGGTGTACACTCAACACTGGGACACCCTTACTCTAAACCCAACCATTTTACTCTAGAAGTGATCCGTTACTCTTCTCTTGGTCCTTTTGTTATATAGACCCGACCATTTTATTCTCGTTCTGGTAGCCCTTACTCTAATCCTAGACCAAGTCCGGTTGCTCTGAATGCAGTCCCTTTAAACAAGTCACAGCCAAATTATTGTGACAACCTTCCTTAATTTTAATCGAAGTCCGCCCACCTTACCCTTTATCTGACCATCTTGATCTAGGCCCGGACACCTTTTTTTTCACTTTGGTCATCTTATTCCTGGCTTGGCTACCTGCATAAAACCGTTTCCTAACATCCACACGCTTCCCTCCCTCCCTTTAATTGGTATGGTTACTTTACGGTATTAGCATAATTTACGTTTTGATGATAGTTTCTATATGCGCATGTAACTTATTTGTAAGATATATATTGAGTTAATTAACGCCACAGAGCGGTTGATCACGTGTGAGTGTTCCAAGGCTGAGTGTAAGGAAGATGGCTACACCTGCACCGCCACTGGCTGTTATTTGCAACTCCTTGACCGACGTGATGGCTCCCAACCTATAACCAGTGGCTGTTTGACCGAAAAGTAAGTCACCATACGCGTTTTGTAAAGCCCCTTGTCATACTCCACCGTTCTCTGCTTTAAGATAGATGATTCTCCACGCAACTTCTCTAGTGGCACTATTTATACACCCCCATCCTCCGTTGCTGTATGGACTGATTTTTGTTTTAATTTATCAATTTACAACATACTTCTATTGTTACCTTTCTTGGACTCTTTCTACTCAAAATCTTGTTCCTTCTTTAATGTTGGTAGTTTGGTACCGTACATCCATACATCACCTCGACGGTACCTTAACAGTCTTAGTGGCACCTGTTATATACTGTACTGCAAATTTATCTCCTGAAATTATTATATAACATTTAGTATCAACTGGTAGTTTTATTTGATGAGTTCTCAGTATTTTTATTGATGCTTAGGTTTCACAAGTGTGTCTGGTATGTTAGCTTATCTGCCTTACTTCAGAGGAGCCTCCTTGCTGTGTATGAACCAGCCACCAGCAGTTCGCTTTGTGCCTTGGCCTTATCTTGTGTGCTGTAACACCAACTTCTGCAACAGGGATGTCGCCCTTACAAATGATTTGGTCACACGAAGTAAGATATTTTTCATGTGTACTGCAATTTTATTTATATTTTTTCAGAGGTACACTTCATCTTATACTGATACATTTCTATAATTTTCAAGCCATCTCCAATAATCTTAGAACAGGGTGGTACATAAAGAAACTTCATTATAATATTAATCAATGAAATCTTTACACCACGAAGTTTTCAGTCTTAACAGTTCGTTATTTTGGGAGCTTGTACTGTAATTCTTCCTTCCCTTTCAACAAATCCTGCCATGCGCCCACGTATGTCCAGACTGTTATCTTGCTCCATTATACAGGTATCACTCAACCCTACATATATTTCCTCCTTAGTGAGTATTGTGTACTTTTCTAACTGGAGCATGGAAAAATCCTTCAGGGTTTTAATGTTTGTGTAGAATTGATTGTCTTAATAACAATGAGGCTTGATAGGCCTGGAATAAACTTGCTAATATCCAGTTTGTTATACCAAATTAACTACTTATGTATCATAGGACTGTCATAAATAAAGCCACAGGTCCATAATACTTGCAGAAGTGGGGAGTCGGGTAATCTTTGATTACCTCAGGTAGTTGCAACCACGTCTTGTTAAGTAAGAGGGTGCTTGGTTGATCTATGCCCAGTTGGTGATACGAAGGACATCCAATTGTAAAATTTGTTTCAAATTTTCCTGGTGGCAACCAGGACCCAATGCCATCAGGTAATCTCAGCTCACCTTCGCAAGTGTGGGAAATGGCCTCAAACAATTGTGATGATTTTATTTTTCTCATTAAACTAGATCTTGAATTCAGTTTTGCAATCTATTTGAGATTCAGAATTAAAGGTCTTTACTGACTTAACTAAGTTTTTACAGGCAAGTCTCAGGGACAAAGTGTGTGCAGCCCGGGAGCGTGACAGGTTGCTTCACATTCAGGGCAACCTTATTAGGTCTCCTGTTCATGATATGTGTTGTCAGTTGAACTATTTTTATCTTAAGTATTGTCAAGCTTGTAGTAGGATTTTGCATAACATTCTGCTACCTTAATTTTGAGGAAAACGGACCTATTCCCTAGTGATTATGTACTGACGTCATCCTAAAAGTTTTACTTAATCACAAAGCAGCAGGTAAAGAGAATAATTTATTTTTACTAGAAATACTGGAGTCTTGTGGAGACTGACTGACCAATAGCCCCAAGGTAGTTTGTGCAGTCTGGATATTATGAGGCTAGTGGTGAGGTAACCTCCTTCTCACTCTCTTGTGGTGGCTTTAGTCTTTAGTGAGGGCTGGAAATAAGAATTCTGATATGATCAATACAACTCATGTTGTCTTGGTAAAGTTGTCAAAATTCTTCATACATGATGTCATATTGTTTCACACACAAAGTCTCGATACTTTTTTTAATTGTGTACTGTATCTTGTGTAATTTCTTTACAGCATGGAAAACAAAAACCAAACTCAGAACTTATCTAGAACATCGTTGAATTGGTGACACGGTTAGTCTGTGACCATTGCCATATAACTCTACCAGTTATCTATCCCATACACCCTCTTCATTCTGGGGAATACTGTGTTCTTTTTTTCTTCTCAAATTAGTTCCATCCTCATTGTTTGCTTTGGTGTTTTTATTACCCTGTACCTCCATTCTTCCTATCTTTACCTCTCGGTGTATGATTTTTTTCCAGTTTTCTATCCCTTGAGTTTCTATCTTCACCAAGCATCAAAACATTTGCTGAAGAATTCTGTATCTTGATTTAGTGAGGATGTGAACTGTACCATATAATCACAGGTCACCTATTTCCTAACACATTTTAATTTACCAGGAAACTGAACTTAAGGTATTCCTTTATAAATTTTTAACACTTAAGAGTACAGTACATCATAATGAAATATGTTTTGTTTTACAGCTCAGGTGATAACATCACTATGGCATAAGTAATTTAATTGGTAAACGGTGATTTCATTGCCAGTTTATTATATCAGGTGATGAAGTGGACTCCTTAAGGCGGCTGGGCGTTTCATCCATCGAGGAATTCCGGGAGAAGTATGACAAAGACACTCTTGAGAGTGACTCGGATGACTTGAACACAGTCTACTTGGCAGTAATAGGTGCTGCTGTTGTCCTTATGATTGCAATTAGTGCTGCAGGATTCTGTGTTTTAGCCAAGTACAGGTATTGCTTATTTGATCTCTCAGTTGTTCTTTCCACTCATGAATAAATTAACATAATGTAAATTGAATAACATAATCACTTACAAAACTCGGTAAGTTTTCCTTTATCATAACTCAAAGTATTCTTTCTTCACAGGTCAAAACATAGCCGACCACCTCATGTTTCTTTAGACAATGGAATGGAGAAACTGAAGTCCTCACCTGTAGAGCCCAGTGCCCCACCACTACTACATGCATAACATCCATCTACAGTATCACATTCTTATTTCCTTCAGGTTAATTGAGATTCATGTATTTTTAATTTAAAGTACTGTGATATCTGCACTACTTTATTTGTACCAATGTGCAGTACAAATTTAGTCATGAAAGGCAATCAGTGCCATTTGTCTTAGTTTAACCCTTAAACTGTGGTTATAGGAAAATGTGATTATCTGTATTTGTAAATTTTTTTGTTTGAAATTCTTAAAAATAATTAATATTCTTATGAAATTACAGACAAGCATTCAGAATAAAAATACCTGTATGAAAATATTATTTCCCATACAACTCAACTGATGGATGTGTTTCTTCATGTGCAATTTCATTATAATAAAATTCAATCCCATAATGGTCAGGGAACCACTTCCCTCCCTCTTATCACCCCCTGAACAGAAAGACGTAAAAGTTCCGCTCTCCATGCCTGATAAAGGCCTCCAGAGGATGGGGCACACACATCCACCCTCTTAGACCTAAACCAAAATCATAGGAACACCCTACACATTCAAATGCCTTGGCTGGAAATGAATGTGTCTGTTGACATTGGCCACAGTTTAAGGGTTAAACTAATGACTTAATGCCAGTGCTTGCAACTAGAGCAAACTTTAACACCTACATACTACTAAGAATGCTACTCTACTGCATATCACTCATATTTTGGAAGATTCATACATGCTGAATTGCTCCTGTATAGTAGACAAGATGCCAACATAGTTTTAAGACTTACATTTATTTCAATCCTACAACCTTTGTGCTTGCTTTGAGGACTAAATCCTTAAATTTGTCTCGTCTTGCTACAACTCAACTGAGGATACCGAAACTAAGACCCCGAAAACCCAATCACTTTTCTTTTTAAGGAAAGCAGAAACTTTGTACATACTGTATATTGATTTTAAATTTGTATCATCTCCAAATAAAAATGACATTAAATTTATTTTACAGTTAACAAAAGTTTATCCTCAATGTGCCCTTTTTCCCCTAACAATTGAAGGGCACCAATATCTTCACTCCATTCCCAGTACAGTATTTGCAAGTGATACAAATGTTGAGCCTTATAAGAAATGAAATCCATTTACCTTCAACTTTCATGGAATGTAATGAAAGATAGGAATTTCACATTACAGTACCCCTGTACTGTTGTAGTGTAAATATTTTGCACACCCGAGAGTAAAAATTGAACAGAATTCTGATGTTCTTAACAACACCCATGGGCTAAACTGAAGAAAGTATATCTCATCTAAAAAGAAAATTCCAGACTATACACACCTGTAAACTGTGTTGGATTCTGTTCAAATTTGTCAGCAATTTTCCAGATGTATTTATGTTTATCACGTGCACTTACAATTGTCGAAGCAAGTAGCAGCCATAACTGACAATGCCATCTTCATTAGCCTATGTTCTAATCAAACAAAACAATTCTTGACTCTTTATACCAATACATTTGGCTTTCGTAAAAAATTAACTATTTTCCAGCTTGGAATACCAAATGTATAATAGTGAAAGACGTCTAAGGCAAGTTATGGAAGGATAGAATGAGTGAAGTCAAACAGGTAACATATGGCTGCTGCAGAATGTAACTTTTAAGCCTGTTGATGGAGGAGGCAATTTTAATTATTTCTTGTGAACTAGAATCCTTCATGGACAAAAAATATAAATATGGAGAGATGAATAGCCATGTAAGTGGAAGCTACTCAAGACATTAGACTAGTGCAGCTGCAGGTGTGTAGGCTCTCGGCTAAGCCAAACCATTTATATAAAAAATCTAACTACAGTAAATATATATTATGTCAAAATTTTTAGACTATCCTGTATCTGGCCAGATAGTAAAATTCAATAACCAGTGCATTCCTACTGTGTATGCCATTGAAGTCTTCAAGATGATACAGAAACCACCATGTTCTGAAACTATAATCAACCACACATCTCTAGTACTTTTTCTTTCAAATCTATTTCAACTTGATGAGTTCCAAATATCAAAAGCACGTACTCATTTCTTCCTTCCATCACTGTTATTGAATTATTCTGGTGTGGTGCTCCCCCTTCTACATCAAGGCCCCCAATTATACATCTGGTTTACCACACTCGATTCACACAAGCCAGTATCACTTCTACAAAGGAAATGTTTGTCAGCTTTGTAATATAGTACCAACTGAGGTACTACAGGCACTTTTAAACCCTCTGCTGATCCAGAATGTGGGTACCCTGCAAGATTGACAGTAAGAGTGCAATATAGTATTAACAATCCAGGGGCCGATGTAGTTAGCTGAAGACCACATACCCTTCCTATGGCAAAAGTTAAGACGAATAACAACTGACAGAGCTGACGAATTTTTAAATACATTTCTTTGAAGTTCATTCTTTACAATTGAGAATGAGAAACTTTTGTAAATTTTCTTTTATTCTTGTAAAAACATATCTGAAACTACCACCAGTTGACTAGCAGGCTGATAACAGCAACAGACTGGGTAGCACAGGACTTTAAAAAAAGAACAAAAAAAAAAAAAAATCCATGGATACAGGAATGTTTTACATCTTTGAGATTCCGCTAAGCTAAGGGTCCAATTTCTCTACCTGGAGGTCCCAACAATACTAATCTGAAATACTTAACCCAACACCTGAAGTACAAAGGCTTCCTCAAAACATATTATAAGTTGGTTAAAGAATATCCACTTGTACATCATACCAACATAAATCTAAAATCATCAGGATAATATATTATTTCATTAAAAATATACCAAAAGTGGTAAGAAAATTAATATTACAATACTTAACCATAATGAGAGAAACTAAATATTATTCGTTATGTTTCTAAGGCACCAATTTGAAAATTAACACCTGTAAATGCTAAGAAAATCATGGAGACAATAATTTCATTTTTATGATATAAAACATGAAATGCAGACAACAGTAATATTTAAGATGTTGGGAGCCCAATTGTAAGCAAAGAAAAGTTATTTTTCAACCTGAATACTGATAAAATAAAGCTTATTTACAAGTCTGCAGTTAACTTTCTGAGGACTGTAGCTAACAAAATCCCACAAAGATGAGCACATTACTGTAAGCAACTGCCATTTGTATTCAATATTTTTACAATAGAAAAATAATACTCTTATGTTAATTTATAACATTCAACAACAACATCCCAATACTCTTATAGGTTTAAGTTAACATGATAATAAGGCTGAATAACTTTAATAAAAAATGGGCATTTAATATAAAATATATAATATTTAGAGCGCACTGAAAATTAAAACTACTGTACTTACAAATGTAACCGAGAAATGTCGTTACACGAGTCAAAAATTTAAGCTTCTCAGACTTAAGCAGTAGCTTCTGGCTTAATTGGGATATTATTTTCATTAGCAGCATCTATACACTTCCAAAGACCGTATGTCTTGCCTACGGTTGTCTGCCACAATCGCAAAGTGCCATCTTCACTTCCAGAGGCATAAAGTTCACCATCAGGACTGAATCTAACAGAATGGACTGGGCCAAAATGACCTTTGAAAGACTCAATCTCCACATTAGTATTGTAGTCAAATTTGTACATCTTAAAGTCCTCTCCACCGCAGATGAAAACTGAGCGATCTGGATGGAGAGAGGCCGAGTACACTGCTGTTGGTACTGTCACTTCACGTTGAAGCTCAAGCCTGAAAAGCATGCCATAGGCAAGAAGAAGAAAAAAAAAAATGGTGCAGTATCATTCAGTAGTACCTTGGTAAATATATTATTACAAAGGATCATCTCTACAAACATATATGTATAGTGCATATTAAATACAGTACAGTATATATTGTATGCAATAATAGACATTTTGCATTTATCCCTATTTAGTAGGTCACAAAAAATTGAAGCCTGTATATTTCTTTATTACAAAGCTGATAGAAGCTAAACTTACGTCTCTGGATTGAGGAAAGCAACCTTTGAGCCATATGCTACTGTCAAGGTTTTGCCATCGGCACTAAGTTCCATGCTTGTTGGGTTATGTGCTACCTCTAGCTTCTGAGTCTCCTGTGAATAAGTGAAAAAGTTTATGAGTAGCTGACGAAAATAAGTTGACATTCAAAATTTTACACAGCAATGCACACACATTTTAAATCAGTAATCCAACAGATGAAAATTTAGGTATTAATACCAAAATCTCATTTTATGATTAAACCTAGATAAGATAATTTGTGTAACACCCAAAAAAGCCTACATTATTAATACTGAACCCTGGGAACTCCTACACAATGCTGGCTAATAGTACAGTAGGGGTAATCCCCTGGTTAGCTTTACAGTACAGTATTTCTCTCCTTGTACCCATAAACCCCAAAAAGTGATATTTGGAAGCAGAAATCACCACAGAAGGCTGGAAAGTTACTGGCAAGGCATCACACCACCAGCCATGAATCTAGAGAACTGCATCAACCACTCACTCCAAGGGTCCTGAGTAGTCTCGTCATAAAATGTTGTATTAAGACCAATCCTTCATTTATTTCCTGATGACTGAAGCAGGTTACTAATATAAATGAGACCAGCTAAAATAAAAAAGGAGAGGAAAGGGCCTCAGTGTGTTAATGCAGCAAATGCATCCTATTACAGGAGTTAATCTGCTAAAAATATATGGAAAGACATCAAACGTAACTTATAAATTCTCTTAACACCAAACAAACTCAAATGTTATTCTTGGTACCTCAAGACAACATCTACCTAGCCAATGCCCCAGTTTACTGTCACTTGTAGAATGGGCATCATTTCCCCCAAGCAGGACAGTTGTGGTATACCCTAAGAAACACCAAAAGTTCTACATGCAAAATCTGAACTCAAAACTAAATTTCAAAGAAATGAACCTGAACTAGCTAACCCCACATACTTGGAAGTCATCTAAAAATATTAATACCGGTATATATCAGGATCACTAAAGCATTTACCGTGATTTCTCTGAGATATGGGCACTTCATCCCTGACACAAAATATACAGTACAGTGTAAATGCACTATAACTGATGCACATGCAGATAAGTAGCAAAATAACATAATTTTAAGATTGAATTAAGACACATCAGCAATAGGCATGTGTTGATATTTACCAGGCCAGCTGCTTTATCCCAAACACGGATAGTTTTATCTTCGGCACAGCTCAGCATCTGTTTTCCATCATTCATGAAAAGTACATGTTTTAGGCCTGCAGTATGACCCGCATACACCTGAGGTTCTGAAAATGAAGTTTAAATTCAATACATATCAGAGAGGAGAGAATTATTATAATATATGAATTTTTAAAGTTGTTTCTAAGAACTTGTTTTTACACTAAAATCCCCAAAACAGCTTGTAGAACCAAATAATTACTGCTAAAACCAAAGAGCATTTATGCCCCTCAACCCAACACCAGAGTAAAACTGTGGTCTTCATTCATATAGTTGGCAATCCAAATGTAAAGCAGTACTGTATTGATTCCTTTGCCCAAATTATTAACACAATCCAAGCTAAAGACATTAACTTATCCCTTAAAGTGGATACCTCTGTATACAGTAACTCTTTACCTGCTTCTGGTTTTCCCAGGTCGAATATTTTGAGAAGTTTTTCATGGGAGCCGGTAAGGAGTTCGGTCGAGTTTGGGGAATATGCAACAGTTTTGACAATGTGGGAGTGTGAGAAAGAGTGTAACTCCTCACCAGCTACAGCATCCCACACCTAGACAAAGGACAACAAAGTTCATTATTGTTTAACTTAATAACAGTTCCCTTTAATATGCTCAATACCATTCTTATTTATATCTGCATACAGTAGCAAAGTACAGTACAGTATATATCAGTATCATAATGTATCCTCAGTATATGTGCAGTGAAAACATTTCTTACACTTTACCTTGGCTGTGAAGTCGGCTGCTGCTGTGGCCGCTCGTGACGCATCCGCATTAAGGGCTACTCCCCACACTGCTCCCTTATGGCCCTCAAATGTTCCAATCCAGTCACCAGTGTTGCCCTGTCGTAGCATTGGCTTCCCATCTACAAAAAAATTGGTAACTGAATACCTGTATGTCATGTATCCTTGTTATGGCTTATTAATAACAAAGGGCCATTATTCTCCCCAAAACCATCAGTACAGAACCATTTTGGGGCATATCTGTACATACTACAGTATGCAGCATATAATTCTGATCCATAGGCAAACTCCTCTACATGCAAAACTATGTACAGTACTATAATGATGGAACTTTAGGGTACTGTACTGTGAATGGAATTGTGAATCCAATCCAATTATGCTTAAATACACTCTTGTAATGGTCACACTAAAATGTGTCCTGTGACAAATTTTATGTTTTACTGTACAGCATAACACAACATCAGTTTTTCATTTACGTACCAGTATACAGTATATACAGTAATTCTTTAGGAGTGATCCGGGTTAAATGGCTACTTAACACAAAATCTCTATAGAATCCAAGTATCTTACTACACGAATAACCTAAATCAGGTGAAGGAATTGCACTTCTTATTTTTTCAGTAATTTTCCCATAAAAAAAAAGCACTCGTTGCCTGCCATGTTTGTGCTTGAACTGTTGAGAAATGCTTCCCAGTGGCTGGCCAAACACTAAGCGTCAAAATGCCTCCCAGTAACTTTTCCACATGAACCTACCTAACCAATCCTAAAACTAATATCAGTATATTTACAAAAACTGCAAATGCTTATTCTTTTGGGGGGATATCTTAACCTAGAAAGAATAATTTATTACCATCTATATAAAAATTTTCTAAAGTTGTCATTTCTTCGAATGAAATGGAAACATGGAGTCTATATATACAAGAAAAACTAGGTAAATACAAAATTAGTATTCCTCTACCCAATTTGGGTTATTTATGAGGTATGAAATAAGTTTCTTCTTGAGATTTTTTGATAGGTAGTTGGTTGACCCAGACCAGTCTTCTACACTGTTACCATACACTTCATAAAGTTGTTTCTCATGACAGCTGGGAATTGAATGACTTGAGAGACCTATCCTAACTTAACCCTGAGTGAGACAAAATCCTGAACATCAAGACCCTATGTCCTTATGGTTGGCCTGGGTATATTTTACTCTCTTTTGTTTGAGATTTGGTTGAGTTCCTGAAGAATCATTCAATTCTCAACCATCACGAGATCTGTCCATACAATTCACCTCAGCTTTATCTACAATTTCCAATATATGCATTAACACACAAAGTAGCTGCCTATTTCCTGCTTAAGAAAATTCATAGTAATTTTTTCCTTTTGAGAAAATCCTATAGAAATTAAATCATGGTAATATAGTATTTGACGGGCATAAAATCATGAGCACCTTTGTTAACATTTTGACGAGACTGAGATCCATAACCTATAAATAAAATGAACCAAAGTAACGTACCTGAACCCAAGCTTCACTTAATTTTTTTATAGTATTAGAAGTGGCTCCAGTGACGTAATATGGCAGCTACTTAGCCTACAGGTTGATGGGCCATGATATTTCATTTGTTGATAATAAATTCCAATTCAGAATTTTGCATTATTAATGGTGACTTTTGGTGGGTGAACCTAACCTGTCAAAAACAAAGAACTGGTGTAATGGTGTGGCAACTCCCCCAATCTGAGTACAGTATTCTCCTTGCTATTATTATTTACATGTACAGTACAGTATATGTGGTATGCGAGCTCCCCCAGTTTGGGTAGGTTAGATTAGGTTAAGTGAGGTTAGATTAGATTAAAATTTAAGTTAGGTTAAGTTAGGATAGGCTAGGTCTGGCTAAGTTCGGTCAGGATAGGATAGGTTAGGTTACGAGCCGAGAGCTCCCAGACTGCGTATATAGCAATCCGGGAGATCCCCTTCGTATTAGCACATGCTCATTATCAGCAAAGGGATCACTGAGACTGGGCGAGACCTCAGACCATGAGACCATAATAAGGAAAGCAGTAATGTACTTTTTTCCATTCAATAAGTAAAATACCCAATGGCCATGCAGCAACTGTCCACCATGTTAACTCCGTCGCTTAATATTAAGGCCACAGAGACACACTATTAATTAGGTTAGGAGGTAGTTTAGGTAATTTTAAAAATATATATTATATATACATAAAATTCCCAGTCACGCCAAATGCTAGCAAAGACTCGTGATTTTACACCAAATACAAGAACCAAATCATTACAAAAAGTTCAATGTTAAGCTTTAAAATTACCATATGAATTTTCTGATAAGATCCTTACCTAGAGACATAGATGCTTACCATGTATGTTCTCTAATTTCATTATTCATAAAGATTATTTGAAGAGTTTACGAACTTCATACGACATGGTAAAATGAATTAGAGAAAGTGACTTACTATCAAGGGCAAAGTGCTCAATGTCCGTATACTACAACTGCCCTTGAACCTGCACTATGCTTTCTCCTGACCATACATATCATAGCACTGAAATATTACATTTTTGTAAAGTGATTGTGATTACAAAGTATCCTTATTAATTGCCAGTGTCAAGTACCCGTCACATGTTGTATTCAGACGCGTAGTAGAGTGAAAGTTGCAACAGCACTTCGGACTTGTCAGACGGCCAACCACAATGACACCGCACCTCAGTACATTTACCCACATGCTACTTGTATTTGCTTATTAGTTTACCTTTACTTGCTGAGATAAGAAAATATCCATCAGGGCAAAGCTGGGAGAAGGCCAAGTGGACAACTGGTCGTGTGTGTCCACTACAGGTAAGCGGCGTCTGTCGGAGCGTGGCGGCCATGGTGTGTCGTCTGCCAACAGCTGACTCTCTGTTGTTTGTTTAGAAGTCTTACACGATACAGTACAAGGTTTATGTTATTACTTATTTTCTTGTTCAAAAAAATCATGAGCATCATTTGCACTATTATTACCCTTGGATCTTGGTTTGTAAATTTACTTAAAGTATTGAACTAAATGATATGTTGACTTTACGAAATGTATAAGTGTGTCGTGTGTTAAAGTATTGGAACATTAGAGAATGACATATTGACAACATTGCAACCTGACTACTGTATATGGTTAAGTTCACACGAAATAACAAATATCAGATAGAATTTTACCTGAAAACATTAGAATGGCTGATTAACTTAAAAAATACAGTGATAATGAACGAAAGCTGAGAGCAAAAAGAAAGATAAAATATTTCAACCAATAGACCAAAGATACTCTACTAAAGATAGGAAAGCTCTAACTAAAATATATATAAGATGTGTGTACGGTATGATTGCCAGATACCTCAATAATAGTGCCATCTATTGGCTGCATCTAAAAGCTATTCGTGACGTCATAGACGTTAATGTGACGTCATGAGTGATGCTTTTTACGTATTCCATTTATTTTAGTCATATCAATCTTCATTTATGTATGCATATATGTATACATGTATACTCCATTGCCTCAAGATCTTAGATGAGTTTAGAAATTAAAAGACACAAAATCTTTTCTCTTGCACAATTTTCATACAATTACAGCGTTTGTAGGGGAGAAATCCACTACAAGCACACCAAGTATTATAGATTTCCCAGAGATAAGAAAACTTGTGATAAATGGATAAATGTCTGCGCGCGCTGATAAAATAAGTACCAAATTTGCCCGTGTGTGTTCTCTCTACTTCAAAGAAAGTGATTACAGACTTGGGTACAGAGTAAAGAAAACTCAGTTAAAAGTGTCACTAACAAAAAGTAGACCCATGTATCCACGGGCTGTATCAACCCTACAACTTACAGCGGCAAAATTAGATGCCTGGTATGTGTTCTAGTTCTTGCTATATAAAATCAGGAAATATGATATCATATCTGATTCGTACTACTTCATACTAGTTAGCGACCATTTTTTTTCCTATTTCCACAACGGTGGGACGTGTCAGCTGTACATGATTTAGACTTTAGAGCTTCTTTGGCATATTGTATGTACGAAAAAAAAATTGAAAACTCCTTTCGAATATCATAATTATTTATTATCATTGTATAAACGTAAAATAGAGATCTAACTTCATATATTTTTGCATATAATATTAATTTTTTTTCTAGAATATTCGAATGAGGAACTATGATTTACGATTCCTGGACCATGATTATCATTATTCATCAATGGTCTCACTTGTGCATCAGGAGAGATATTGTCGACGGTAAACATTCTTTGGATTTTTGTGGCCCATGAATTCTACATGTTATTATATCAGATAACAACCAGTTATTCTTCCAATTGAAAAATTCGTGCCGATCATAAACATTGATGCAATATACTCTATCTTCTTTTCTTGATGCCTTTCCGTAAATTTTTGTATTATTCTTAAATTGAATTAGGATTTCCGATGTTCATTTTTCTTCTGATGGTGCGTAAAATTACAGTGTACAACGCCGCCAGAGACGACGAGGAGGAAGCAGAAGGTTGCGTAATGTAATGGAGCGTCAAAAAACCACATCAATTATTGATTTTCCATTAAGTCTACAAAATTTGGAGGGACGACTTCTACGTTTCGTGCTCGTCACACTGGCACTCACGTGGCCATAATTTTGGACTCTGACTACCAGCGCCGCCACCGTATAGATAAGGTAAGATACTGTGACCATCAATTTAACATTATATTAGGGGATAAAAGTAAGAAAATAGTGGACATGATTCATCACACGTCTGGTGGTATATTATTAAATTAAAGGCCAATTAAATAATCTGAAGACAATTTAGGAAATTTGTTTCCGTAAATGAAAAATAAAATCACTAGGAAGACAATTGGTAGACAATTTCATTCAGAAGGCGTCGCTGTATTTAATAACTTTCTGAAGCCCGAAAAATTGACTCTTTGTCTGGTTATGGAATGAACTTAACGTTTAGATTTTAGTTTGCACATTAGTTGATTTACAATGTGTCGCAATCATGCAGAACTTCAACTAGATATAATTTGAGAAAAAACATGCTGCAAATTATAAATATAGCAAGAAATACCAACGTTTCCCCCTCAACATAACATTTCCGTTTTCTCTCACACGCATAATGTAAGTGACGTCAGAGTGCCACTCGTCTCACTTCGACCGACACCTCGGGTATACAAAAAAATGTGTTTTCACTGTTGTTTCGAGTTGCTTTTGTGCTTCATTAACTTGAGAAAGGGAAGACAGACGGGCGTAATTAAATCTCGCGTAAAAGTGTTGCTTATTGTGAGACAGTCCAACAGTTAATGATCTTGCACTTCCCATCGTCCCAGTCGCTGGCCGCTCCTCCTTGTGGTGAACGCGACACTCTTTCTCCTTGTGGTGAACGCGACACTCTTTCCTGTAACTGATCATGTATGTCCATAAATGGGTAAGTAAGTCATGGATATATTAAATAACAGTCAAAGAAGCGGCGGGACTCGAAGGAATCCGACAGAGAAAGGAGGTAGGAGACGACGAGGTGGCGGGTGTGGCGGCATCTGGCAAGTGATGGCAGGTGGTGGTGTTGGTGCCTCCCTCCTGCCCGACTCACACTTGTTGTTTCAGTGTGTATTCTCTTGTGCTGGCAGGAAGGTGTACACGCCACCTCTCGGGACATATTGGTAAGTACCGCCCGTGTCAGCACCGAGCCTTGAATGGGACGAATAATCTTGGCCGAATAGCAAACGTTTACCAACAACAATAAGCACTGTCCATGAGTGCTATTACATGTATAAGCGGAGCGGATGTGGTGGGTGATAATGCTCAAACTTACACCACACACACACACACACACACGCAGCACATTGAGTACAGTGCACTTGTGAGCTGCTTTGTACTACCTGAATTATTTATGAGAGAGAGAGAGATACGCATGACACCTGTACCTCCGGGGTCTTACCACCTGAAAACCTCCTTCACTCATACATACATTTATCTCCTCTAAATCATGTCACTAATTGAGTCAATTAATCAAATTATATCATTTACATTAACAGGAATTTAATGTCAAGAAAATTAGTGTTTACATTTTAATTATTTTGTTGCTGAGAGTTTTACAGTCTAAACACAGGTCAATTATAGGTCAGTTATAGGTCAAGAGTCGGGTCAGAATCATAGGTCAGTTATAAATCGGTTATAGGGTAGAGTCAGGTCAGTTATAGGGTAGAATCAATTCAGTTATAGGGTAGAATCAGTTCAGTTATAGGGTAGAGTCAGGTCAGTTATAGGGTAGAGTCAGTTCAGTTATAGGGTAGAGTCAGTTCAGTTATAGGGTAGAGTCAAGTCAGTTATAGGGTAGAGTCAAGTCAGTTATAGGGTAGAGTCAGTTCAGTTATAGGGTAGAGTCAGGTCAGTTACAGGTTAAAGTCGCCAGGTAGAGTCAGGTCGGGGTCAGTTAAAGATTAAGAGTTAAGGGTGATAAGTCACTTGGGTGAATTAACCGATTCAAGTGTGTGAGTTATATAACGCCCCCCCCTGTATACTGTACCTTGGTGTATGAATAAGTATATATACCTGTATACCTTATTGTGTGTGGTGAGGGGGGGGGGGTTCTGTATACCGAGTGATGACCAAGGTAGGTATCTAGTGTGTGTGTGTGTGTGTATTGGTGTATGACTGTATGATCCTGTATGTTTCACTGTGTTTGGTATGCTTGTATGTGTTTGTCTTATGGTGATGTGTATGCTGTATGGTCTTGTCTGTTCTCGACTGGTATAGGGTTGATTTTTGAACTGTGTATAGTACGTAATGGTGGCTCTCTGTGTACACCCTAACTACCCCCCTTCCCCCCTCATCCCTCCCCACACCCCCCTACTTTGTATTTTGTAGTTTATGTATGGACATTACTGTATGTATGGTTATGTATGTATGTATGTCGTGTATATCACAGTGTATAATTCAGTTTTATTGGTGGAATTTTATCATTGTTGGATTACCGGTAACTTTATTATTTATTGTTGTTGTTGTTGTTGTGGTTGTTGTTGTTGTTGTTGTTGTTGTTGTTGTTGTTGTTGTTGTTGTTGTTGTTGTTGTTGTTGTTGTTGTTGTTGTTGTTGTTGTTGTTGTTGTTGTTGTTGTTTGTTGTTTGTTGTTGTTGTTGTTGTTGTTGTTGTTGTTGTTGTTGTTGTTTGTTGTTGTTGTTATTTGTTGTTGTTGTTGTTGTTGTTGTTGTTGTTGTTGTTGTTGTTGTTGTTGTTGTTGTTGTTGTTGTTGTTGTTGTTGTTGTTGTTGTTGTTGTTGTTGTTGTTGTTGTTGTTGTTGTTATTATTATTATTATTATTATTATTATTATTATTATTATTATTATTATTATTATTATTATTATTATTATTATTATTATTATATTTCTTGGTCTTCTGATTTCCTCTTTCACCCCTAATTTTGTTTTTAATATATACTTCCTTAACGATATGTAACTCCCTACCAATATTGCTGGACAGGAAGTGAAGGTCTCGGGGAGGCTCGGATGAGTATCTTTAAAGTCGCTTCTAGAGAGAGACTTTAATACTCTTAGATGTAAGTTTATACCATTAAATGCGTTTGGTATAAATATTCCCCTTAATGTCCTTATGGGTGTTACACTTCAGGGTTTATTGTGTATAAGGGCATTAGGTCTACAAGTGCCACCATTAGTGTGATCTCTAGGTGGTTCGTCAGGAGACACTGTAGAAAATGACGCATCTCAGGAAAAAATGACGCATCTCAGGAAAAAATGACGCATCTCAGGAAAAAATGACGCATCTCAGGAAAAAAATGACGCATCTCAGGAAAAAATGACGCATCTCAGGAAAAAATGACGCATCTCAGGAAAAAAAAGATTTATCACGGTCGGGAAAAATGTCGTGGGTCAGGGAAAATTATATACCTTAGGAAAATTACCATCTTGAGGCGTCAGACAACAAGGATAAATTATTCTTTCGTGCCATCTGAGACTCCACGTGACCTTGACCTCTGATCTTTGACCGCTAGGAGAACAAAACAGTATCTTGCCGGAGGGGTCGTGTAGGTGGGGTAGGGGTAGGGTGGGGTGGGGTGGGGTGGGGTGGGGTGTAGGAGGGTTGGGGTGATAGCTCTTAGGAAGAACAGGAGACAAGACAACAGGAGACGAGACAACAGGGCAGGGGAGGGAAAGGGGGAGACGTTCTGTTAATATATGTCCCTCTGTTGTTTTGTGGAAAGTTTAATGTACTTTTGTCTGTCTGTTAGCCTTTCTTTCTTTCTTTCTTTCTTTCTTTCTTTCTTTCTTTCTGTTGGAAGTTTTCTGTATATATCTAGGTCCTCCCTCTCTCTCTCGTTATCTCTATCCGTTATCCTTTCTCTCTCTCGTTATCTCTATCCGTTTATCCTCTCTCTCTCGTTCGTTATCCTCTCAGGCGCTCGCTCACCTACTGAGACTCAATACAGACGCTCTATGTATGGCCGACACAACGTACATAAACAACAACAGTACCAGAAACAGCCGTCAGAGGGTAGCAGACTGAGGAATTCCGGAGTGCCAAGAGAGGGAAGGGGGTGCCATGGGGGGTGGGCAGAGATAGCAACGGGGGAGAGAGGGGGGCAGACAGCTACTTGGGGGTGGAGACAGCCGGCAGGGTGTCGTTATCGAGACGCGTGTGATAGCGAGAGAGCGGCTGACAGCTCCGTAAATGTGTTAATGACAGCGTCTATCTCAGTTGAAATTGACGGCTGATAACTCATTTTACAGGCCGCCCTGACTCGTCGTTCCGTGTGTGTGTGTGTGTGTGTGTGTGTGTGTGTGTGTGTGTGTGTGTGTGTGTGTGTGTGTGTGTGTGTGTGTGTGTGTGTGTGTGTGTGTGTGTGTGACTTAGTATCACATTAACATATCAATAACCAATTCAGGGCAAAACTATTCAATCTAAACAAACATATTAATTACCTCCAAGTATTTTCCTTCTTTCTACATCTCTCACACTCTCTCTCTTTACTTCTTCCTCCTCTCTTCTCTTCCTCTCTTTACTTCTTCCTCCTTTCTCTCTCTCTCTCTCTTTCTCTGGTCCTCTCCTTTTCTCTTCGTTTTCTCCCTCTTCTTCCTCTTTTCTCTCCTACTGTGGTCCTCTTCCTCCTCCTCCTTTCTCTCACTCTCCTCCTTCTTCACCCTCTTCACCCTCCTTCTCTTCCTCCTCCCTCCATCCCTACCGTGGCATCAACAGGTGCACCCACATGGCTTGGTGGCGGGCCAATACCGTGCCACACACACACACACACGCACACACAAACGCACACGTCTCTCCCACCAACGATCGATATTCCCAACAACACGTAGCAAAACATCACTCGTAAACTAACACAATTGGCACTCCCCTCTGGCACACCAACCTCCGCCATGGTAAGTACTGTACTGCTGTGTTTTAAAAGATCTTATAGAGTCTACGATGAATTAAAGAGTCTCTGTATGAAGAATTATTGGAACCCTGTGTGGTGAAGTAGGGAATATATACACAAACACGTAAGGAAACCCTGAAAAAAGTACCTATGTTATATACGACACAATGGTTATTTTAGAAGGGTATTGATGGCGTGAGGTGAAGGAGAGTGGTGGGAGGAGTAGGGTTGGGGGCACAATGAAGGCCATATATGAGAAATGGTGGCGGGCGACACACTTCACGCCAGGAAGGGGACGGGGGCTCAGTGTGAATTATTGATGAACTATGTGTGAGTGTGTGTGTGTGTGTGGTAGACGGTCACAGGTCATCACAGGACACGGCTTAGAGTATAATAACATACACTTGACCTAATCACACCTTTCTGCTGAGTATATATAAAGCCTTTAATACCACTGTGAATTGAATGTTCTTTACGACTCAGTGACACTATCGTCGTTCTTCCGAGAATATTAAAATTTTTGAGGTATTTGCTTTTAAAGTTTATTATCCTATCTTACAGGTGTTGGTGCTGCTGTATGGGTGTTGGTGCTGTGAACGAAAGACCTTTGACATACACCCGAGTGGAGTTAACCTCTTGTCGCCGTCACTACCCCAGGTTGATGGAAGAACGTCTGAGATGATGGAACAATTACATTAGGTTAGTTCCCTCTACATCTCATCTCATTGCATTGTTTACTTCTTGACCTTTACACATAGTAGAGGGAAATAGATTTGTTGAGGTAGAAGGGAGAGGTTATGATGAGCTGCAATAGGTCACGGGATAGGTTGAAAGGTCAAAGGTCACATCGTAGGTCACAGGTCAGTCGAGATAGTCTCCAGTGTTAGTTTATAAAGTAGGTATAGAGGGTGATAGTCCAGTAGTTTGGCAGTCATGTTCACGTTAATATAATGACATTGTCCCCTAATTAAGATTATAAGAGCATTATATAATGACCTGAGCGATAAGGTCATTATCTTAGTACAATTTTATCATTCTAACTCACTGATAAAACACTGGAATCTAATGACGAACCTTCATGGTAATTTGTCCACTGTGTCGGAAAATTTAACGTTGGTATCATGCGATGGACACATATCATAATTAGGTGACAGCAGCGGTCGACATTTTTGCCAGTCATGTTGCCGAGGAATCAACATACAGTTTTAAGACACCTTGTTTAACGCAGTGGAACAAACAGGTGGTGGACGTGTGTGTGTGTGTGTGTGTGTGTGTGTGTGTGTGTGTGTGTGTGTGTGTGTGTGGAGCTCTGAAACTGGCAAGGGAAGCTGCATGAGATAACACCGACTGCAAAAAACGCAGGCAGCACTGACGACAGATTATTGACTTCCTACCTACTCACCCGTTTCACTTTACAATATAACTAACAAACCACTTAAACCACTTAAACCACTTAAACCACTTAAACCACTTAAACCAATTAAACCACACTTAGGTAATAAAATGATCCCCCCCAAAATACGTCTTAATTAATGCGTATTTATAGTCTTGGCCACATAATATTTATACTAACATTAAGACGTTTTTCTGACACACACACACACACACACACACACACACACACACACACACACACACACACACACACACACACACACACACACACACACACACACACATACACACACACACACACACACACACACACACACACACACACACACACACACACCTTACCCAGAATTGACTTAAGACGTTAGAGGAGTTTTAAGTAATAAATAAGGAGCTTTAAAAGTTTTCCAGGGAATAAAAATAAATAAATAAATAATATCCCCAGATTCTTATGTTAAAATTTTCTTGTATATTTTGAGATGTATGATCGTATCTATGAAGGTGATATATAACATGCAAAACAACTTAGTAATATCCACTTACATCCACTTACATCCACTTACATCCACTCAGATGACAAAGTTGATCTAGGAAAGGTTTTGGGTAAATATTCTGTGTTAATTTTGTCTCCTAACTGGTGTATTGAGTTAATAGCCCGAAGTAATAGTAACTGCTAGTTCCTTTTTAACCTCAACTACTGTACGTGTTGTTTGGTGTTGGGTGAGTGGGGGGGGGGGATGACTGAGTGTGTATGGAATTTACTGTTAATATATGAATGTAAAAAAAAAATGATATTCAAAATGGTTCATTGGATGACTATTGCCAGGACGAATGCTAATGAATTGGTGCCATTATAGTGTAACCCTTGGTGCCATTATAGTGTAACCCTTGGTACCATTAGTTCACCATCTCTTTTGATACTTGCCGAGAGTTAGGGGAATACTTAACGAGACTTAGCTGTATAGTTGTAGCATAGTTGACGCGTTATGTGGGGAATGTCAATCCCTCATTGGTCCGGCTGAGAGGGGAGAAGGGAACTGGTCACGCCATCGTAAGTTTACTCGTCGCCGTGTGTAGAGTTGAATGGTACAGTCCAATGCTCAGGTTCTGTATATGGTAGCTTTGGGTTGCCTCCGTAGATTAATGTCATGTCGTAGTGAAGTTCTATGTAGATTAATTATTTCTTGTTGTGTTATTGGTTTGGTAATGAAGCAAGAAGATCTATGGACTGAGGATTCATAAGGGGGATATATTTCACCCGTCTCTTTATCTGTGTTCATCGTGTCCGTAAAACATGTTATCAGGACCATCTCTTTAACGTACTAACTATGCGCTCGTGAATCAGCAAGGTTGGCGTTTCCGTAACTTATCAGATAATAAAACTCTCGTACCGATCTTATAAACGAGAGTTTCTGATATGACAAAACACACCTCGATACTGTACTTCTTTTTGAACCTGCTTACATGCATACATACATACATACATACATACATACATACATACATACATACATACATTACTACTGTACTAAAAAAAAGGTTCACATGATAGGAACAGGTGGGGTACTATTGGGATGAGGTGGGGCAGAAAGAGGGTGCATAGTGGTACTGAGGTGGTGTCTAAGATCCTGCTGGGGTCGTACGGGGCGGGCGGTGCGGGGCAGGGCAGGGCGGGGTGGAAAGGTGTAGTGAGGGCGTGTACATTATTCATGGAGAGCGTCAGGAGGTGCGGTACACAGCTCGCCCTCTCTCATGCTGGCCTCACCACGCTTAACACCTCGACGCTCGGCAAATATCCACTTATTTCCACGTGAGGGTTTGGGTGTGCGTGGCTGCATGGCTTTGTGCGTGTGTGTGGGGGGAGGGAGGCGTGTAGGTGTGTGTGTGTGTTTGGGGGGCATGTGTGTATAGGGAGTGTGAGTGTATTTCTGTGTGTGTGTGTCAGAACAGTACGTTATGCATGGGGAGGGGTTATGTTGTCGATACCTGACCCTCAAGACGACACGGCAGTAGTAGTAGCAGCATTACACACACACACACCTGCAATGATGGGCTTACTGACACCCTCACTCCCCCACTCCCTCACCCCCTCACCCCCGTTTTTAATGACACACACTCGTTACTGAACTCGTATATAAATATAGTGCTAAGTCTTCTCCTTGTTTCACTTCCATCTAACGAAAGTAAAAATTGAAAAAAAAAATACAAAATAAAAATGTCTTGTAAAATAAAATGGATTGAGGTTTAGTTCAACAAGGACGATGACATTTAACATAGCTGGGGTGGGTAGGTGGGTTGGGTGGGTGGGCAGGTGGGTTGGGTGGGTGGGTAGGTGGGTTGGGCGGGTGGGTGAGTGGGTGAGAAATATAAAGAACGTTAAGGTATGTTGTCGTAAATCTTCATTATGAGAAGCCGTCACTGCCAACCATGAAGTATTAGACTACTGGCCGCTGGTAAAACATGTCAGTATCACTAAGAACAGCGGAGTAGTTTATCAAGCAGTATCTACCTCCTCCTGTCTTCTTCCCACACCCCTTTCTCTCTGTCTCTCTACCCCTTCCTTCCTTCCTTAACTTCACCTTCTTGCTTTCCTTCCTTCTCACTCTACTCCTTCTTTCTTCCGTCTATCCCTACCCTCCCTCCATCCCTTCCTTCCTCCCCCATCCCTCCTACCCCTCACGTCAACATGGAAGGAGTAAACAAGAAGCCACTAGCCCCAGGAACACACACACACACACACACACACACACACACACACACACACTATGAGTCTTCCTGTATCACGGGTAGATGACAGCTTCATTATACAGTACATGGAAAGGGTAGCGTTTTAACAGGAAGTGTATGTACAAAGTTTTAATAAGAGTATCTGTGGCTGTAGTGTTTCTCATACAGAGTAGGGGGGAGTGTTGGCATCTGTGTTAAATTGGATGGTTAGAGTTTTGCGCTTGTTAGAAAAAAAGGGCGTGGTTAGTTGAGCTAAAAGTGCGTGACTAGTTGTGTTAAAAGTGCGTGACTAGTGTGCGATAAGTGCTTGATTAGTTGTATAAAAAGTGCGTGACTGATGCAAAAATGCGTGATGAAGATAGAGTCACGTATGTATGTATGTATGTATGTATGTATGTATGTATGTAAATACTAATAATAAACGGTTTATTAATAGAGTTGCAGCCGGTGGTTGAAAATATACAAAATTGCATTTGATTTAGACATAATGATATGCGTTGTATGTATGTATGACGGGAGAGGTATCTATAATAAGGTTGTACCACAGTTAAATCAGGTTCTTATAATACTGACAAGAGACAGAGTGACGCTACACATGGCATGGACAGAAACAATGGCGAAGATTCTTTAAATCCACTGAAAAAAAAAATATATATTGGTTAATTTACTAAACCAATTTGAAATCATTGGCTATTTCAATGAGAAACTCCCCTCCCACCCCCCTCCTACCTACCTACCTCCCACCCACCTATACCCCTCCTCCCCCACCTATACCCCTCCTCCCCACCTATACCCTCCTCCCCACTCCATACCCCTCCTCCCCCACTCTACCTCCTCCTCCCCCACCTATACCCTCCTCCTCCCTCCCCCAGGTAATTAAACTAGGAATGTTTGTTTCATCTATTGAGAGAGACAAAATAACAGTGGCTCTTTTTTTGGAGGGGGGCGAACAGTATCGTTTATCAGGGAAGAGATAAGGAAATTGTGCACTAGATTGGATGGATACTTGTGTTAGGTCACAGTGGGAAAAAAACACAACTTAACCTATTGATAGGAATTTGGGATTATTTTTATAGATTTTTTTTTTGTAGGAATAGAGAGAGAGAGAGAGAGAGAGAGAGAGAGAGAGAGAGAGAGAGAGAGAGAGAGAGAGAGAGAGAGAGAGAGAGAGAGTCACAAAACACAAAAAGGAATACCCCCCCCCACACACACACTATTCAGGAGACTAAGTTCACAAAAATCTGGGTCAAGAGTTAAGGTCACATGGAGAGCCAAAGGTCAACGAGGTCTTCCGGGTAGTGACACTTACAGTAAATATGTTAATTAATCCTCACATCATATCCACATAGAACACATTATATCCACTCAGAACACATTATATCCACTCAGAACACATTATATCCACTCAGAACACATAATATCCACTCAGAACACATAATATCCACTCAGAACACATCATATCCACTCAGAACACATCATATCCACACAGAACACATTATATCCACTCAGAACACATCATATCCACTCAGAACACATTATATCCACACAGAACACATTATATCCACCCAGAACACATCATA